TGTACTTCTTTAAATATCCTTGCTAATCAAATGTATTGTCTAGAACTATAATTATTAGAAGGATTATCTTGAAAAAAATTGAGTAAATATAAAAGACAAAGTGGATTAAGATCTTATATTTAGGACCAAAATAAAAGTCAAACAGAATATCATATTAAGGACTAGAGGTAGTATATCAATTTATTTTCTTTCTTGTATTTGTTTATTTTCCTCCAAAATAATCTCATCATAAGTATGTATGTTAAAAAAATTTTATTCTAATGCAGATGATTAATTGTCTAGTTCTTATATTAAGAATCAGAGATAATAATTATTTAAAAAATCCCAATAATAATAGAGCTGCTTATAATTATAAATTTTACTGTAAGAAATGACAATTCTTTACTTGTTATTGAGGTTTTTCTTTGGGTAGTTATCTTTTTGTTTTTTTTGAAGAAGGTAGAATCACATAGCCATTCTCCCTAATAATTTGTCACTCACTTCCCTTTAAATATAATTTATAATATAACACACACACACACACTTCAGCTGCGATGCTCCGCATATTCCCTCCCAGAGGAAAAACTATTAATAAATGAAATCATTTTAATATTGCTGACAATTTCCCTTCAACTAATTGTGAAAGCATTCAGCATGCGAAGGGGCTTAATGGAAATCATAATGATGGTAATGTGTCAGTATTTTATTTTATTTTTTTGCCAGCAGGTAATATGTCAGTATTACAGATTACTATTAATATTTTAATTTAATCCTTCAAATAAAGTAATAATATTAATATCTAACGTTGGAAGCTAGCTAGTAATGATCTTAATGATTGTGAGGCATAACTCAGCACATTTTCATGCATAATTATTTGGCAAAATATAATGACTACTCTTATCAAATTCAATGGACATAAAAGTGTGGTGGATTAATTTATTCAAGTTAGACCAACGCACTTTCGATGTGGGGCATTTAACTTGCTGGCCAACTGCTTCAACAAGAGCATATTCTTCAGAATACTTTGCTCCTTAGTAGTATGTTACTCCTATAATTAGTTTGCTAAACAGGTCAAGCCATATCAGATCTCAATCACACGTGGTTGTAGATTTTTAATAGGAGCTTAACCTATTTCCATCTTTAATTATAATTACCATCTCTCATTATTTTTTTTTTTTTATAGACCGACTGTAATATGAAACTACAATTATTGGAGCCTCTGCCAAATGACCTTGTATGTGAATAGATCTATCAGAGAACATTCAGATAGAAACTTGAATCTGTTTATTCTAAGCTTGATATTACAATAAGGCCAATCACTTAAACTAAGAATGGATATTATCGTTAACTAGTTAATTTTAATGTACATAATTAAATTTCGCCAAATCAGTTCAATACTTCAAAGTGGTTCATCAAAACTAATTTTGAAAAAATAGAGTCCAATTCTATTTTTAGACACAGAAATTAAGATAATAACACAAATACCCATACACAATGAATGGTCCGGGTCTGGCCCAAAAGATTTTTTTAAAAAATTGCACAATGTAGTTTAAATGATGATATTACTCTTCCGGTTCTAAATATAAGACCCTTATACACACTGGTATAACGGTCTTATATTTAGAACCGGAGGAGTAGCTTTTTATTTAACTAGACAGTGCTAGAATAACTTCTTGCCATCCGAATAATGTTATGTGATAAAGTAATAAACAATTAGGCAACATTTTTCATGCATTTTATGAAATTGAAAGCAAACTATACTATTAATTATAGGGACAATAATATAAAAAGAAGTTATTAATTACAATATTCAAATTTAGGCACCTAAGAGCTTAAAATCTTAGAGGAGGAAGTGGTCTAATCTAATATATTACAAATATAATCAAATGACTAAAATATATTTGTATCATATTTGAAATAAAAAGCTATCAAATTTGTCATTATTAGTATATTTTTTGTCATTAAGTGTTTAACACTTGTTACTGTCGTTTCACAATTTATTAATAAATAACTTGTCATTGTCAGTACATTTTGTGTCATTTATTATTCAACATTTGTTATTGTCAGTTCACAACTTATTAATACGAGAGCATTTTTGTCATTTGATTAGATTTACATAATATAAGATCAGGCACCATTTTTTCGTATGAGATTTTGAGCTCTTAAACGCCTTAACTGAAATACTATAATTTTTAAATTCTTTTTATGCAATTTTTCCTTAATTATATAATAGTATAATATAAATAATGTAGCATGATCAAAAACAAAAGTCATGTATATTATTTTAAGGTGAGGCACATGGAAAGAATATAAGATGGTGGTTGATAATTACAAGCTCGTTTCAGTGGGGCCCTCCATTTTGGAGCCTCATATCCTTGTAACCGTTGAACGTGTGGTTGGATGTCAAATATATATAAACAATATATATGCGCCAGGCAAAAGAAATCTCTTATTATAAGCTCAAATATTAAATTTAGTCCTTTTTTTCAATAAAAATTTAAATATTAATTCATCATATTGTAATTAACTAACCCTTCTTAATAGATTCAATTCCTATTAGTTATAAATATATGTATGTATTTAAATATTAATCTCATTACAAGGGCTCTTTTTTCCATTATTAGCTTTTAGAGAGTAATGTATAAAAGTCGTAGTAGTGTGGTTTAAATTTACACTAATAAGATAACCAAAACTAACATAGAAAGTATTGTTTAAGTTGGTTTTAACTATAACAAAACGTGGATTTTTTTTTTAATAAAAAAACTGACATCTATTTATTTTTATTACAGATTAACTTGCAATTTAAAGCTAAAACTCACACCATGAGCAAAATTAAACTAGTGTAGAACCAGAACCAATGTATACAAGTCGTCCAATTATATATTATTCAAACTAATTAAACTATTGAATAATTCAACCAATCACAATATATACAAAATATGCAACCTAAGTAAACGTTGACTTAATGTTATCCAAGAAATGATCAAAACTAGCCTTTAATTTTGATCACAACTCTTGAAGCTTGAGTTGTCACAGAGAGTTTCAAGTAAGATCATTATTTTCATCTGTATATAGTTTTGGGTTTTCAATTATCTGTAAAATTATACAAATTTATGAAATCTCAAGATCAAATTAATTTTTTTTAATGAGAAACTTTTATTTCATTTGATTCAAGTATTGTTGATGAATTTTTAAAATAAAAATTTTACTTTGTAATTATAAATAACTAAACACGCAAAATTGCAGATTATATCTATTAAATCCTATCATTATTTATAATTCATTGACTTTCTATAAAAATTATATATAATGATAAATATGATTGCATATATCTTTTGACTATGGATAGATATATCGTAATCTCATGTTTTCGCCACATAATTTGAACAAAAAATTGATAATTGTAAGTTTGTTAACATAAAAATTTTACCTAATCAATGGCATAGTACTATCATGATAAATAAATAATACGAAATAAATAATGACAACTAAATAAAAAATAACAACTTTTACAATATATGTAATCACGAATAAATACAGTGTATTTTATATACTCTATACCATCCTATAAGACACTTTCAATTGCTTCACCAGATTCAAGAGGAAGTAGTTAAGTCATTATATTTATTTAAAAATCATTTTTTAAACATACTTTTACCTAAAATCATAAATTATATTTTGAGAAGCAAAAAAACGAAAATCATATCAAATTTTACATAAGGGTGATTTAAAAAAAAAAGAAGTAATTGGTACCTTATTAATAATTTATGATAAAAAGTTATTGTAATTAAGAGTAATAAACATTAATATATACTAATAAATATTTTGTGTGAGTTAACATATTGAATGCCAAAAAAAGTGAGAAGAAATTGTAAATGAATTTATTTAAACTTCAATTATGTATATAAAAAATTTTGAACTTTTTTATTTAAAATCATAAATTACATTTTGAAAATTGAATAAAAAATAATTTTTTGATAAAAATAATTTAAAAAATATGACTAATATCTCATTTAGTGATTTATAATAAGGGCCACTTATTAATGTATTCCATACTGCCCATTTTGTAATCTATGATTTTTTTTTGAGTGAATTTAATTCTTCTTATAAGCTACACTTTGTACATGCCTAATGACATTTTTTTTCTAATTAATTATATGTATCTCTCTGTTTTTTTTCCTGCTCCCTTCCACTTACATTGTCTATAAAATAAATAATGACATTTAAAAAAATAAAATTATATTATTTACATATTTATTGTTTTCAACAAGTTTTAAGGAACTTTTTTAATTTGCATAATTTAATTATTTTTTGCCAAAAACATAATTTAATTATTTAAAACTTATAAAAAAAACTGAAAAAAATACTACCTCCAGTCCTAATTATAAAAGCTAGTTGACTAATTTGAGGAGATTAAAGAATTAGTTATTTATCGTAAATAGGTGTTGTTTTTTTTAAAATATCCTTGCTAATCAGGTGTATTGACTAGAACTACTATTGTTAGAAGGACTATCTTAAAAAAAATACATATATATTAAAATTTAAAGTGGATTAGGATCTTATATTTAATATTAAAATAAAAATCAAACGAGATTCTATATTAATGAGCAGACGTAGTATTATGTAATGATTTGTAACAAGAATGGCTCACTTATTCTAGATGGACAGATATTGCCTCATAATAATGAAAGAAAGGGAGTACCAGTAGTTAATAATTAAGATGTTAGTGTGAATGCAAGAGAAGATATTGAATGCCAATAAAAAAGAGAGAGAAGATATTGTAAATGAATTTATTCAAAGTTCAATGATCTCAAATCCTCAACTAAACAAACTATTTTCACTTTTTATTCCGTTTCCACGCGCCGCAATGCACTCATCAAACGACGCTCCAAAATCCTCCATTCCTGCTCGCTCACGCCAACTCCTCCTTCCCTTTTCATTCCCTTTTTCTTCCCAATCTCACAAATCAGAAAAGTTCGTTAATTTCTTTTTTTTTTTTTTAAATTAGACATTTTGATTCGCAAATCCAAAACCAGACGACGAACCAGTTCTCTCTCTTCCCTCCCTCGTTGCCGCGCCTTTCTCTCCCCTCTCCTTCATCTCTTCCGCGTCTCTCTTAGTTCTTCTATATATACAGCCTCTCTCTTTCACTCCGATTGTCTCCGCCTTCTACTTTAACTGCTTCACGCCATTCTCTCTCTTTCTTTCTCTCTCTCTCCCCTTCCTCTTCTTCACTGTGCAACTTTTTCAACTGTCAAGGTACTTTGGAATATCCTCTGCGATCCCAATCTCTTTCTCTCTTTTTATTATTATATAATGTATTTTCGCGATTTTTAAGAACCCGATATTTTCTTTTTTTGGGGTTTTTAATTATAGAAATATGAAAGTGGAAGAACTCCAATTCGAATTCAATCGTCTCCACCACCATCACCAGCACCTCCAGCGGCAGAGTAAAGAGAAGACCCATTTGGGTCTCGCCGAACTCTCATCGGCCGTCGTCCCTGCCGATGATGGTGGTGGGTTTGAGAAGGTCATTGACGGCGAAGACGAGGATTGTTTCGTCCAGCCGATCAATTTCGCCATGGTAGATAACGGCATTTTCCGGTCCGGCTTCCCTCAACCCGACAACTTCTCCTTCCTCAAATCCCTCGGTCTCCGCTCCATTGTGTAAGCACAGAACCTTATAAATGGATTCTTTATTGTTTGTTTTCCTTCTTTGCCGGAAAAATTTCGATCCTTCATCCGGTCTGTGGTGCCACTTAGCTTTTCTGTGCTGAATTTGTTCGGATGGTTCTTCAGATATCTCTGTCCCGAGCCGTATGCGGAGGAAAGCTTAGAGTTCTTGAAGTCAAATGGGATCAAGCTTTATCAATTTGGGATTGACGGTCACAAGGTATATAGCTGTTTGAAGTTTGCGTTATGTAATGGGAGTGAATTTGTGCTTCTGAATTTGCTTTTTGGATGGTCTCTTTTGATTATGATTGTTCATATGCTTGATTGTGTTGGATAACTATATTGGTAAGTTGCACAAAAAATTAATGAATATCTAACCCAATTGACCTGTCACTCTCATCTTTTATTTTGTGCGATTTTTTCTTCAAGTGGATATGGAGATAAGCTAGCTACGGAAAATTATTGGATATGAACTTTTATATTATAGAAGGGTCTCCATGTCTAGGGAACTTAAACTGTTGTCGTTATTTCTCCAGTTCGTATTTTTCTTGTCTTTGGTAATACGGTCAGAATATTTCCTGCAACTTATTTTGAAATTAAATCTCTCTTTCAGACAAGCTTAACTTAGTTCTGCTATATGATTACTTAATTTTTTAGCAGTGATTGGAATTGGATCGATCATGATCTGAGCATAGTTATGTCGAAAACGTTTCTTTTCTTGTGTGCACTTAATTTTGTGGATCAGTTATAATGAAATCCATGTAGAACGAAACCAAGCTGGCTGGTGAAGCCTTTTTCTTGGGCACAAAAGGTCTTGATATTCGCTTGTTATTGGAATAATTAATGGCTTATTAGATATTATGGATTATTAGTTCGTTGTCTGCACAATGGGTTTATTGATGGATTCGACAGCAGTTTTTTCTCTTCGACAATCATAAACTTGCCCCTTTATAATGCAAATATAACCAAAATATGTAAGATGTAAGACAAGGAGATGATGGAAAAGAGACAAGTTCTTATAAACCTAACAGTACGGAAAAATAGTCATAATATATTAGTGGTCATCACATAACATCATTAATTCGTTGATCCAGCATGCGTATTGGGCGACTATTGAGGTTTTGGACATGACTTAGCTGCCCGCCAATTACAGAGCATTTCATATTTATAAAAATTTTATACTGAAAGTGTTCTGCAAATTGTTTGTTAGATTGCATGCGTTCACTTTCATTATTATTATATCTAGTTCTCACTAACAACACATGCAGGCTAAAAAAAAAATTTTAATTTGTTAGTACATTGTATTCATTTGTTTGACAAGACTGAGATTAGATTTTTACTCATCATATTCCTCTTTCACGCACACACACACGCACACAGCTATTTATTAAATTTCAAATACTTTATCTGAAATGTATCCTATTGTTATAGACCCAAATACTGAATTATGAGAGAACGCTTAGCATCCATAGATAATTCTTGTGGTTATGTTAACGGTGAAGAAACTTGAGTGCTTGGACTAAACCTTTTTAAAAATATTTGTCCTGCGATTTCCTAGACTTACGCACCTTCCCTCAAGGACCACCAAAGGGGTAGTTTCCATTTGTGCATTTTGTTTCAATACTTAAATATCATATATATGTGGATTTCAGAGAGAACTTCACTCCTTATGGAATTATAGAACTCCTTAGTCCCTATTTCATGAACTTGTATTTGGACAATAAATCATGAAACCTAATATATGCATAAGAAAACCAGAACAGGCATTATCCCCCCCCCGGGGGGGGGGGACGAATGAACGTCTTGGTGGTGACTAGATTTGAGCAGAATAATGCTCCTCACAGTAAATGAAGGAATTTCTTATTTATAACAGTCATAATATATGTCTTCAATGTTTTCATTTGACCTATTTTCCTCATCAGCCCATCTCGTGTGTCACGCCCAATGATGTTTAATTACTATGGTTAAAGAATCAGGACCTGTTTGTTTATCATCTTAATATTCTCTTCTGTTTCCTCGTAATTATAATGCTTGGTATTGGTCTTCTTAGTAGAACTATGAAAAAATGATACAACTCTTCTGCATTTTAACCATGCATCTGATGCCTCAAGACTTTAGAATAATGAGGGTGCAGTATCGTCTAAACTTGAGATCTTGATACTGTCTCAGTCTAATCAATTAGTTAGCATGGAGAAAATGGTTTAATGCTGGGTGGTTTAGGCAATCTCTCTATAATACATTCTCAGTTATATTTGGTTTACGGAGAATTACTGGACCAAATTATCATGCATAAAATATATAAGCATATTAGTGCTGTCTATTATTAAGAAGTGTGTTTGACTTGCAAGTTAATTCGTTGGTGGATTTCACATTTTCTTTATGCCGAACCAAGAATTTCTGTGTGTATTCCTCGTGAAATGGCAATACACTATTTTTCTTGGATACAAATGGGGAATGACAGTTAGGTTTTAACTTGACATGACGACTTAATCTATTGTGAATAATGGTCTTTATAAACTGACACCGAGAATTGTGCATCCAGGAGCCTTTTGTAAGCATCCCGGAGGACACAATCTGTCAGGCCCTAAGAGTTGTCCTTGGTATACATCATATCCCGGCCCATTTCTTTCACACTTCATATCTGGCTTTAGCTGCAGTTTCATTATCTTTGCTTCATCATCTATAATGCAGATGAGAAGAACCACCCAGTTTTAATTCACTGTAAACGAGGAAAGGTTAGAATTCGCTCAACCTTTTGTTTTGTTTTGTTTTGTTTTTTTTAATTTGTCATTTCTAATTTAATGAAATATTATATGGGCCCCACTATGCCCTGGCGCCCTGCTTAGTTGGCATGCATAGATGAGGACATCCCAATTCATCTGAGGTAATTTTATGAAGACCTTGACATTTCATGAGGTTGAACGTCTTGATCTGTGTTGATCTTTGATTAATATAAGATTAAACTACTTAACATTTTCGAAAAGTCAAGCTCCTAATAGAATTACCTATTCATGGGATTATGTTGACTTGAGAAGCGAAAGTATACTGACTCAATCAACACCAACGTCGGGAGTGTTGTGTCTGATTCGAGTATCTAACGAAATTTAACTTGGTTTTTGTAGATCTATATATAGCAATGCTTTCATGTATGCCAACTAAGTGGGAACTGATGTATTTTGGGCACTTAGAATTGCTTATGAATGATTTAATCACTCGTGTGAGTCACGTAAAATGAGTAAAATGTTGCTCCCCCTCTTCCATTTTACAGCACCGAACGGGTTGTGTGGTAGGCTGCTTCAGAAAGTTACAAAAATGGTGCTTGTCGTCAGTGTTTGATGAGTACCTACGCTTTGCAGCAGCCAAGGCAAGAGTTTCAGATCTGAGATTCGTGGAATCGTTCGATACTTCCAGCTTGTCGGCACATTTGCCCATGTCTTTCTCTTTTTCACAGAGGTGATGAACCCAGAAAGTTGAACATAGGGGTTTTCTTTTCATTTTGATGTGAAAGCAAAACCCAGATCCTCCTCTGCAATAAGTTAGCAATAAAATGCATTGCAGCGGCAAAGGAGTAGTCTTTCTTCTGGCATCTTAGAATAAGGGAAAAAGTCCTAGCAGTTTTAGGATTTCTAGTTTGATGCTACATTGCCCTCAATCCCTTTTCTTTTCTTTTTTAATTGATGTTTTCAAGCAGCCAATTCATGAGAAACAGTGTAGATATGTGTTGGTCTTTTCCTTTTAGACTTGTGAAAAATTCAAGAAATTTCAGGAAAAAGCTTTCTATCACTGAAATCTTGATGGGTCGTCTTCTACCTCCTTCCCCCGACTCCTTTCCTTTCGGGTTCTAAATTGATCCGACGACTCATTTTGGGTTCGACTGTCCTGAATCACTTTAAAATGGATGCTGACTTTAGATAAGGTATTTCCACCATTTATCAGCATAAGACAAAAATCATATCAATCAGCATCGATATAATCAGTACTAAATATATAAATCAATACTACTTCCTATACTTAATATACTTAATATAAGGCCTTGTGTGATTTTTATTTTGATCTTAAATATAAGATCTCTAACCATTTTATTTCTCATATCTATGTATTTTTTTCTAATGTAGTCCTTGTAACAATGATAGTTCTAACTAATATATTTGATTAGCAATGATATTTTAGGAAAGATAACACTTATTTATTACAAATAACTAATTTAACTTTTTTTCTTAATCTTCTCAAATTAGTCAACTAGCTCTTATAATTAGGATCGGAGGTAGTAGAAAATTTGTAATCAATAATACTATTCATAAAATTCTTGCAAAAATAATACTCCTCCGGTCTTTAATATAGGACTCAATTCTTGAGTTGGTTTTGGTCTTAAATATAAGACTTATTTCTCATATTTATCAATTTTCTCTAAATTACCTCTATAAATGTACTCTCAACCATAATCAAGTAGAAGAGGTAGATGGAGTATTAAGAAAGATGATATAATGCTTTAGGAAAAATATGTCACTTTTTTTATAAGTAGTTAACATAACTTTCTTAATCTAATCAAATTAGTTAAATAGATCTTATATTAAGAACCAGGAGAATATATATTGAGGGGCTGGGCCCTGGCTGTTCTCAACTTTGTTGCTGCTGGCTGGAAGTGGCCCGTACGGGCAGAGAAAGGGAGGGCAAGGGCATCCCATTTTATCTATAGTTTTCTCTTTCCATAATTTTAATCTCAATTTTGTTTTAACTCTATATTACTGATTTTTCTGGGCCCACCAAATTTTATCAAAATCCCAAATTCTCAACGAACATACTAGTTCAACTTGATTTGCTAACAAACAAATGAAAATAACAACTTTATTTCAAAAAAATAAAAATAAAAATCTGTATCACATTAAAAAAAAAATAAAATGAAAGGGACAGTGACAGTGAAGGAGGAAACCGGAGAGAGGACCTCCAGTTAGAAACTTCTCTTCTTCACTTCTCATTCTCTTCCCTCGTCTTCTCCCTTCTAATTATAAGATCAACATTTAAATGGTTCAAATTTGATTTTATACAAAATGCATCTTTTTATTATTTTTCTTTATTGTAGCATTCATTATTCACTTCAAATTTTAGCCATTTAAATTTAATTAATTTTTTTAATTTATAATTTAACATTTTGATAATAATTTTATAAAGTATTAAATTTGAAACTTTCAAACATTCAAATATTAATCTTATGGATATAAAAAGAGAAGAAAACGGAAAAGGATAGGAAGGGAATAGCAGAGTTTCCTCGTACAAACGGACGGCAATGAAACACAAACAAATACGAGAAAATATTATGGGTCCGTTTGGTACGAGGGAAAATGAGAGCGGGAGAGGCAAGAAAATTTTTTAATAAGCTTAATTTTAAAAATTAAAAAAGTGGGGTTAAAAACTTTTAATTGATGTTTATTATTCTTTTACATTACTTTTTTTGTTTATTAAAATTTTAAAACCCCACTTCTCCAATTTTTGAAATAGAGCTCATTCAAATTTTCCTTCCTTCAGTTTCTCTCATACCAAATAGGACCTATATGTTTGCCTGATTTGAGTGAAGCCAAGTGATGAGCTTGGGGAAGAAGACAAGCCAAAACAAAGCTGTTCACTTATTCAGTAAATTTAAGGGTAGCTCCGATTTTAAGTTCTTTTTCCATTGGCATGGCAGGCATCATGATCATTGCCAATGGTGGTCCCATGCACGGCCTTCCAAGTTGCGCCTCTTAATGAGACGCACAAAACGAAAGAGAAAGGACGACATATATGCTATCAAATTCATCATTCAATTAAGCAAACACACGATCATTACTATGATCTCACTCACATTCATTCTCATCAATTAATTGGCTACTTCTTCATACAATAATACCACACACATCACCTCATCATCACTCTCACTTCCACGCCAAATTATTCACGCCCATTTCTGAAACAGGCCCATCTTACTTCTCATCCTAATTAAAAGCTTATTGTTCTTATTGACAATCATGGGATTATATAATATATATATATATCAGGCAGTTGGAATAACGGGTGGAGCCAGATTGAGAGGCGATGCTTTGAAAGCTTCAAAACGGGGTTCCTTAGCTTGAAACTTGAGCTTGGTGTAAAGCTGCATGTAGTCTTGAAACACAAATTGAGGGTAAATCTGGTTGTTGCTGTTGTTCTGGTTCTCATGTTGCTCATCTGCAGCTACTAGCTGTGGAGCTGGGTAGATCACAGCGTCACCTGCTGGATTGTAGAATGAAGCTATGGACATTCTGGTCCCATTCCTTTGTGCAATCACTCGGTGTTCCACACTCTTGTACTTCCCATTCGTTATTACCTGTTCTCTCCATTTCAAAATGCTTAATGTTAAGAAAACCGGATCGGTCATTGAACTGGTTTAATATTCAGAAAAAAGAAATAGGGGCTACCTCAAGCTGGTCACCGATGTTGATAACTAAAGCGTGGGGCAATGGAGGCACACCAAGCCAGTGACCATCTTTAAGAAACTGTAGGCCACTGACCTTATCGTCTTGGAAGAGAAGGATGATCCCACCTGCGTCTGTGTGCTCACGAAGCCCCTTCACCTTCTCTGGCTCTGGACATGGCGGATAGTGGGCCACCTTCGTCCCAAAATTTGGTCCTGATGATCTTGATGAGCCATTGAAAACCTTCTTCAAGTAGCCTTTCTCCAACCCAAGATTCTCGCATAACAGATCCAGAAGCTTCTCTGCTAGTTCCTCTAGCTTCAAGGCAAACTCCTTCATCACTTTCCTGTACTCCTCACAGAGATCGGGCACCTCAGAGATGTTGGACTCTGGAAGATGACGCAAGAGGAAGGTGCTTTCCCAGTCCATGTCTTTGATCTCGTCGTTGTCGTCTAGGGTTTTGCTCGCCATCACCTCATTGAACCTTCGCTCCATGCATTGCTTGTACTGATCTTTAGTGAGTTTCTCCACTGTGTCCATTAACTCGTTGGGTATCCCGTGATTCACCACCTGCAAGATGTAATGCACGTACGGATGAGTGTGCGTCAGCATTAAAATATAAATATATATATATGTGTGTGTGTGCGTATACCTCGAAGAATCCCCAGTTCTCACAGGCATCTTTGATTCTCTCCATTGTTGCTTCTCTCTCATTTCCATTGAGCTTGTCCAGGCTGATCACTGGGAAGTTGTTCTCCATTATCTCTCTCAGGGAATTTCTTGGGAGGAGGAGGTTGTGTTGTGCAGAATAGAGTGCGGCTTGTTTGCCATTTATAGGCGGGGCCTAAACCAAGGCAATTAACTCCTCAAATATAATAAGATAAATGGATGATTTTTTGGAAATAATTAAAAAGTATGCAGCACTACACTACTCTGTTTTCTTTTAAAAAGGATTAGTTATCTTAGCATATATGTTGAGGTTGCGTTTGTGTGATGAACGAATGGTGTCAATTTTGGAATATGAATTTAGGAAAAAAAAATATGGGCCCAATAATTCGTTTGACCTTGAATCGAAATTCATTTTTCAACAACAAAATTAATTAAAAAATGTTTTCTTGCAAGTCAAGACAAAAATTTTCTCATATACTTAACCAAGGTTGTTAAACTCACGAGTTTAAATAAACTTATAACAAGTATGTAAACTCAGATAGTAAGCTCGTAAGAGTTTACTTCTGTTAATAAACAGCTATTAAAAGTATATCATTAGATAATTTAAATATTAAAAATGACAAAAAGTTAGTTAAAATATAATTTAAACCTAAATAATTAAAATCAAACCTATCAACATTCATAGTTTATCATACTCAATATAGATATTTTTATGAAATTCATACATGAAGTCACTATACACAATCAAATAATAAAATAATCATAAATTTAATAAAAATTATAATCTGGAACACTAATTTGGATTTTCAATGTTTTAAAGAAACAGTTAGATAATTTAACTGTCTTTTATGCATGCTTTGATATAAATATTTCAATTATTTTTATGAATATTTTAGGTAATTTTAACGTAAATGATTTTATTGTTGTATATTAAAATTTTATGAGTTGGTAGTATTATTTCATAGATTTTTCTCTAAATACTCAAGTATTTTTTTAATGATGCAGTGAGTGGCATCGGAGAAAACTTCAAAATTTGGTTGCTTTCGGTGAGTTTTGTTGTTAGTTTCAAACTCGCATATAAATCACCGAGTTAATGCGATTTTACCGAGTTTAAATGAGTAACAAGAAATTGCTTACGAGTTTTCAATAGATACGATTTTACATGCGTGTTAACACATTTTTTTGAGCTGAAAACATGAAATCGGCGAGTTTAACGTGTTGAATCGCGAGTTTGATTACCATGTACTTAACTAATTTAAATCACTTCTAACAGATTAATTCAAACACTCTCGTTTGTCTAAATTAATGAATTTCAAAAATTTAGGATGACTATTCTGCAGATAGTCAGATACGGTAGTTGATACCTGTATATTTTTCTTTTTTAATTAAACACTAATTTTGCTTTGTTAATACTCTTAGCTTTTGCATAGGGACTAACAATACTAATGGAATGAAGCTAGAGTGTTTAATTAAGAAAGAAAATATACATACACTCTCTCCGTCCCTTATTATAAAATTTACTAATTTTTTAAATAGATTTCTTCCTTTTTATAAGATCCTTTTAAGTTTGTCTGAACATTTAATATATTATTATTTATTTTTCCTATAGTTTACTATATTTAATATATTCTTTTTCTTCATTTATCTTACTATTACTCTTTCACACATACCTATTTATATATAGGGGTATATTTAGAAAAAAATTATATTTGCTACATATTAATTGCTTGCAACTAATTTTAACTGTTTTCTTAAACTGCATAATCTAGTTAAAAGGATCTCATAATAAGGGACGGAGTAGTACCGAATTAAAAGTTGAGAAAAATTATAAGTACTTTGCAAAATGATTTTCCTCTCGAATTTTATAATGGAGTTTTGGCATTTATATTAAGCTCTTTATCTAATCATTTAATTCATGTCTTTATTAGTGTTATTTAAAATATTTAATAACCAAAAAATAAATAATGTCAAGCGTAGCCTTTTCAAAAAAAATCAGGGAAAGTGTCCACTGAGCTTTCAATTAAATGGGTTGACGCACTTCCAACTAATGATGCAAGTAGTGAGGAATTAAATGCTCATATTCTTTCTCGAAAAACGAAAAAAATCGTTTTCTTTTTAAATTTCTTTAACTAATTTAAATTTGCAAGATATTGGAATTAGTTTTTTAAAACAAGAATTTAAATTACTTAATGAAATTACCATCCGAAATACATTATATATATATATATATATATCTATTCATTTTTGCTAAGAGCCACTTCTCTAGTCCTATTTATAGGATAGAAAGAGAACATATTTTTTGATCCTATTTATAAAGTATTAAGAGAAATTTTTTGTATGGATGTATAATTTTATTTTTCATTTATTATTGTGTTGACTTTGTTTACATAAGTTATAATGGATGTTAAATAAAGATAAAATTGAAAAGTTGTTGAATTTTAAATGAGAGTTCATGAAAATTAATGTCTTTCTTAGTAGATGTGAAACATGTTAAAAATGACTTATAAATAAGATCAGAAGAGTATTTATGTATAATATCGGTTGCTTTTCAAATGGTTGGGGATAATGATTAGACTGCTAAAATGTAGAATGCATGCATTTCCTCTTCCCACTAATTAATACTCCCCAAAACAATAACAATTGTTACTTTATACACATACTCTTTCGATTCTAAGTATAAAAACTAATGAGATATTGATTTTGATTCTAAATATAAAAATTTAATCATTTTTTTGACATTTATTATCTTTTAAATTAATTTATCTGATTTATAAACTCATATAATTTAATATTATATAAAAATGTTTTTTTTAGGAAGGTGATGCCACATAATTAAATAATTAATATAATTTTTTTGATTTATTCAAATTAGTTAATTACTTTTATCTTAAGAATCGAACAAGTATATATACATAAAAAAACATTTAGAACTAAGGGTTTTGATTTGTTTTGTTTTTTTGTTTTTCAATACAAAGCTCAACAAATTGGAGTCGTCTTAATCTGTGCTTTATAATTAGATGTTATTGGCCCTCACATAGAAAGTCGCCCACTTCATAAGTACTGTGATTTTCAGTAACACTCACAATCATGAAGTTGATAATATTGGAATTTTGGATTTTTGTGAGGACACGAAAATTTGAAGAAAGAATGGGACAGCTAAAAGTGGCATGCTTTGTGTTTGTTTGGATAATGTTGGGTCGGGTTTGCGTCACTATACCCTTTGGATATATATATATATATATATATTTTTGTGTTTCTAATTTAATTCGAATTATTTCAATTTATATAATTTAAAATTTATTACTCTATATGTTGAATAAAGTAAAAATGAAATAATATCATTACTTTAACTATTAATTTAAAAATGAGAAAATCAATAGGGTCATAAAAAAGTAAAAATAATAAAATAATAAGATATAAATTGTTCACCTTTAATATATATAGTGTGAAAAATACATGATATTAAGCATCAATTCCTAAAATGAAACAAAAAATCTGTTAACGTGATTTTTTTTCATTCATAAAATTAAAATTGAAGATACACTTAACATTTTAATTTAATACTTCCTCTGTCTTTTTTTTATAAAGATCTAAATTTTTGAATTGGCTATAGTCTCTTTTTTTTTTCAATCTATAAGATTCAATTTATGATTGTTTGAATATTAAATACATTCTTACCGATTTTATTCCTAATTACTTGAATTATTTTGTTCTTATACACTCTCTTTAATCTTTTTTCTCACTATTTTTCTCTCTTATCTATTCTCTTTTAAATAAGGGTATATTAATATAAAAAAAGTACATTTATTACATATTTGCCTTGTTTTTGGCCAACTACTTTTAACTAATACTATTAATAAATATGAACATATTTCTTAAATGACATAATTCAGTTAATTCATAGTACTTCTTTTCCTGCTAATCATGATAGCTTCTGGAATTTTTTGGAGTGCTTTCTATCAGACACAATGTGTCAAATTTCACTGAACTTGACGAGTCTCCACAAAGATGGTCATTTCAAGATGATGAATTAGATACCATTCTTTTATTAAATATGATTTGGAAGACAAGGAATTGCATAGCACACAAACAAGGAAAGGCTTCTCCAGATTCATTAAAAAAAAAAAAAAAAAGACGCTTTGGCTCTAAATTCTGTATCTAAGGTCAACATTCATAATGCCATCAGAATTGAAGTTTCGTTGATAAATTTCTGTACCTTGGAGAAGAATGGCCTATATTTTGCTGTAAAAAAGAAACAAAATCACCCAACGTGAAGCTTGGGTTGGATTTCAAGGGCAATCTCTTTAGAAATTTGTTTGGAAAAAAGGGTTATATCCTGTCCATTGTCATTGATGCTTTTATACAGAAACTTTTTCAATGAAAGAAAGGAAAAAGCTTTAAGGTGTCTCTAACTATAAAGCGTTAAGAGTGAGAGATAAGGAATGAAACTAGAATTAAAAGTGTATTAATATAAAAAACTGTTTGTTATTTGCGATTGAGCAAACCTGTGTATACGAGATTGGGAAATATTATGTATTAATTCTTGTCCTTGTTATTTTGGATGCAGTGTGTCTTAAACTATTGTTGCATTTCTCTTATTAATGCATTTTTGCCTTTTATCAGAAAAAATGTGAAAGAATATGTGTCTTTTTTCTTTTCTTTTCTTTTTTTAAGGGAAAAAGGGAAAGAATGAATGGCTCATGTGACTTGTCCCATTCAGTATTCACTCATCACTTCCCACTCGCCACACACAAATGGTTCCCACTCTTGTGACATAATAATATAGCTTTATATATATATATATATATCAACTAATTATTTTTTTATATACATATACACACACATGTCTTTTGTGTATTGTACAATCTGAGAAATGAATTGTATACTTTCTAGTTTTAAAAATAAGATCCATTTTATAATATAAATTATACTATAAAATAAATCTTATGTAGTTATAAATGCGTATTTAATCATAAACTGTATAGTTTACCATATGAATTCATGTATGTGTCCTACAACTCCTAAGCAATATGATTATTAAGACTTGTTTTGGATTCAGGGGCATTTTCTCACACACACATTACTTATTAACGAGATTTTCATATTAACAATGAAATTTGAGGCAAAGAAAAAAATCTATGGCTTTATAGAACATAAATCATATTCTTATTAATTAAACTAATTTTTATGCTCTGGAAATGCTTAATTAATTAATGGAAGTTAAATTCCTTGATTGAACTGTACTTCTAATTAATTATAGTTTAAGAAATTTACATTATTTCACAAAAAGTTTGTTTTGTCATGTTTGTGTAATGCTGTCTTCATCATCTTAAATCGCCTCCCTGTACCCACAATTTTCATACCACAATAATTAAATTAGATGGAATGAAGTATCAATTAATTAGTTCTTACTTATTATCGATAGAGCAAAAATTGTTCTTGCCTTATAATTTTATTTTTTCAAATTTTATTCTATCCCTTTCATCCGGGTATTATGAAAATCCCAACTTCAATCTCATAACTCATAAGAAAGGAATCTTTATGTTTTACTTTAGTAGTGTCATGTGAAGCATATCATACATAGAAAAATGACATATAAATATCATCCAAATTAAATACTACCTTCACTTTTTGACATGAGAGTTAGTTAAAAATTCAATTTGGTCCTAAATGTAAAATTTTAATCTATTTTATTTGTAATATTTATCTATTTCGTTCCAAATAATCCTTATAACAATTACATATTTTGAGAAGTTTTTATCAAAAAATAGTTTCAATACATATAATTAATAAAAACATTTTAAAAAAGACAATATCTATTTATTATAAATAATTAACATAATTAATTTTCTTAATGCCAGTAAATTAGTTATCTTTTATATCAACTATGATCTAAAATGATTCTTTCAAATGGCATACTTCCTATCCAATGATGTGATTGTGGAATTTTCGGGGTTGGAATGGTCAACAGTGAAATCCATCTTTTAGTTCTTCGAGAGTTGTATCATTATCGGGCCACTAAAACTTCCTTTGATAATACTATACAAACATAATACTCTTCCAGTCCTTAATATAAGATCTATCTAACTAATTTGATTAGATTAAGAAAGTTAGGTAAGTTAGTTAATTATAAAAAAATATGAAATGTTTTTCCTAAAATACCATAATCATCTTTATAAATATCCCCCTACTTATTTGATTATAGTTAAGGGAGTATCTATATGGGTAATTTAGAAAAAATTGATAAATATGAGAAATAAGTCTTATATTTAGAACTAAAATTAACTTAACAATGCGGTTTTATATTAAGAATTGAAGGAATATATAAGTATAACTATCACATTTCAAAATATATTAAATGAGTAGTTCCCTTTAAAGACTAATAACTTCACTTAAATGAAACTATAACAGACCCTTCATCAGTGACAACTGAAAAGTCAGCTTATAAGTTTCTAAGCGTTAGTAAATAAATAACTATTTTAGTTTAAAATAATAGCTATTTTAGATGCCATTTTCCAAATATCCTAAGGAAGTCGCTTTCTTTTCAGGGCCATATGTATACACACACAGATGCATAAGAAAGGACTGGTGCATGAACCTTCCACAAATGCAGTAGCCATTATGATAAAGTGGTGATAAGAATGAAACGCCTTTTTATTCCTTGAGTCATGCTGTTGATCCGTTTCTGATCCGTTTAGGACCACCATGTAGTTGCTTCCAGAATAACTTAATATTTCCCAACATATTTGCATAAGAAAGCTAAACTCTTGGTTGGTACGAATCCATCAATAAAGAAGAAAGGTTATGGCTTTTAATGGGGTGGTCAAAATTCAATGCATTTATGAATAAGAATTGGATCTAGTAGAAAAGATTAATTTTTCACAATGTGATAAATTAATTACCTCTACTTTTTAATGTAAGAGTTTGTTTGATTTTTATTTTGATCCTAAATATAAGATCAAATCCACTTTATCTCTCATATTTATCCATTTTTCTAAGGTAGCCCTTATAATAATGATAGTTCTACCCAATATATTTGATTAGTAAGGATATTTTAGAAAAGATAACACTTATTTATTACAAATAGCTAAATTAACTAGTTTGCTTAATCTGTTTAAATTAGTCAACTAGCTCTTATATTAAGAACCGGAAATAGTGCTTGAATATCTATTGAGAGGCGTGACTATATTTAATGCTAATTAATATTTCGAATAAAATTAGCTCTCATGAAAAAATGCCCGTGCTTATGAAAAGAAAACGTCATTGCACTTACGTTTGTTCACTGCACAATGAATTTTCAATGTTCTTCCTCAAGATTTGCCCATATTTTGTAATTGGTCACTCTTTTTCTCTCTTTAAGTGCACAGTCAAAGGAGATATACTTCCAGAAATTGAAGATGAATAATAAAACTCTATCATATATGCAACTTCTTCTTTTGCATTACTTTGTTCTTAAACATTCTTTTTATCGTATTTATAATTTAGACAAACAAGTTTTTTTTAATTGTACTCCCTCCGTTCTTTTTTTATAAGCAAAAACTATTATCCTCTTCTTATCTCTCAATATAAGTAATATTTGCAAGTTGTCTTAAATTTTTATAGTAAACTTCCTATTTTACCCACATTAATTACTTATTTTAATACCTAATACATTTACTATCTCATTTCTTAAATCATCATCTCTCTCCGTATACATTTTCTCTCTTTCATAATTCTCTCTAAGCTAAAATACATATATTTAGTCCTTTAATTTTATAGAGAATTTTAATTTGGTCCCTTAACTTTAAAAAAATACTTTTAGTTCTATAATCCTAAAATTATTAATAAAAAATGATAATATTAAGATTTTAAATGTTGATAAAACATTTTCAAATGTTAACATAATGAGTTTAATTGTCAAAACAACAATGATTATTACAAAAAGATCATCATTTAACCATAACGATTTTAGGACTAAATGACCAAATGTATGCTTTTGAAAGTTAGGGATCAAATTAAAACTCTGTATAAAATTAAAAACACCAAATATATACTTTAGCCTTCTTTTTATTGTAATAATTTTCTTATTCTCTTTCTTATATACTCTCTCCCCCATAAATAAGGGTATTTCAAAGGAAACAAACTCTAATTTCTACTTATTTATTATCTTTAACTAATTTTTTGATCTACGTAATAGAGTCTAAGGTTGCTTATAAAAAGGGACGGATGGAGTATTTACAAATCAAATTATTACTTTTGAAAATGTATAATTTTATCTTTTATTTTTGTGTAAACTGTTATTTTCTTGAAAGTGTATATATATATATGCTTATTTACATTAATAACTTTAATTTACTTAGCATATATATTAGGGGCAAGTTTGACAATATAATTAATATTTTAATATATAAATTTCCTTTTTTATTAATATATCTGTTTAAATCTTAAAATAATTAAATTTTGAAATGGAGTGAAATTAGAATAACAAAGTTTTTTTGGTAGAATTCAGAATATTTCAAATCAATTTGGACTTAAAACTAATCTCTATTGAGTCGACAGTACAACTATTAAAACCTTCTCAACAAGTGTGTTTCTCAGGATTCGACCTTGTATTTTCTTTCTTATGGGAGTGCAACCGCTTATTAGATCAACTAAGAACAGTGTTATGGAGTCCATTTTCATAACTATAAAGTTGCTGAAGTCTTGTACTTCTTTCTCTCATGTGTCATTTATTTTCTTCTACCTAAGGCAATATTGTTCATTTTATTACTGTATCCTGAAATTCAGTCTTTAGCTTTGTGCCACATATAATGTCTAATAGTTAGCAACACAATCATCTTCGTTTCGTACGGATAATCCTACATATCATGATCACCATTTACAGAAGCATATCAATTCCATCCCATTCTTGGGTGGCTGCTTCAATCTCTCCGTATGTGAATGGTTTTGGGCCTTTGTGTTTAGGATTCTGACACCCCCCCTCTCTCTCTCTATCAGTGGAGGTTGGAGAGGAGGTAGTTTGGCCAGGGAGTTTGTTTCTAGGGGATATGATTCTTATTTCTGAGTTTGTCAAAGATTGTTGTGATCTATGAGGTGGAGCTTAAGGAAAGGGTGGTTCGATTGGTGGAGTAGAGAAAGACGGCGTCGCCGTGGAGGAAGGAAAATTGAAGGCATAGCGGAGTGTTTTACTTCTGGCCAAAAAGCAAAAGAAATTTCATTCTATTGGCACACTGCTAAGCATACGTTCAAAGCCATCAAATATACATATAAAGACATGATTGGATGATAAATTTCGATGTCACAGTGATCCACAATCAGGCATTCGGGCTGGAGAACTCCATCTTTCTCACCAATTAAATCATAAGTTACACTTTGTTCTTCTGATATATATATATATATATATATGATACTGACGGAATTATTTAGCTTACCTACAGATACCCCTATCCCTCATCCCTAGGCCTGAAAAATACAACTCAACTACAACACAACCTATATATCACTCGAATTTTTGTCCCCAGAAAATAAATCTGTACACTTGAAATCCCCATAGAAACTGAAAATAAAAAAAAGGGGATGTTTATGAGCTCAGACGTTCATTTTTATAGAATTCATCTTTGAAACGTCAGTGTTGAAACAAGCAGAGACAAATCGATTAATCCAAGTAAGTGGATTCACGACCTCCTTCAAGGAGGGAATTATTGAACCGAGGATCACCTTGTCAAATACCAAGGCCATAATATGTGTCAGAAGAGATTCTTGTTGAAGTCAGGCAGGCTTGAGCCTTTTGATGGAAATTAGGCACTAGATACAGTCAGAACAACCTGCTCAAATAAGAAGCCAGTGTCATTGCGCACAGCAATTGGAGATCACAGCGAGAGCAGTACATAAAGACTTCTAGTTGACAATCACTAAACCCGCAAGAGATAGATTTACATATACAAGAGACAAAACAGCGCCTTTGATTAAATCATGACAATTAGACACCCACGTAGCACTAACCAACAGTTGCCAGGAGGCACTCGGTATCATTTGTGCTACACGGCCCCAACATAAATGCATATATATCTTACACGTGGCAATATTCACAAAATATTGACAGTACAACTCAATTTTTTAGACTGTACAAATATATCGAGAGACAAGTCTACTTGAAACCAAAAAACAAAAATGACAGCAACAATGCAGATATATTAATCGGATGAGGAAAGCATACTTAGTCATCACTGTTTATCAGTTGGTTATTTTAAATAGTATAAAAACTTAGGCTTAAGGAGGAAAACCTCACAACTTAACGACTCCTAAAAATAAAGCCTTGGCACGGGTGTAAGCACCAGCCTCATGTAAACTGCAAGGAAAAAAGTTTGCTTCAGTAACTTGTGTGAGAAACCAGACAAGAATATCGTATCAATTGTGATACCATATAGTAAGCAACAAGCATTGTCATGGCCATTTTCAATTATTCTTCATTTTTCTTTTTGGCAAGTTCAATTATTTTCAATTAGGGTATTAGAAGGTTGACCTTAATCAAAAGCACTTACATATTTCCATGAATTTCATAGAAGACTTCCTCACCTTGTCAATTCCAAACAAACCTGGGAATCAAACCAAATCAAAGATATTAAATGAAAAATTAAACAAAAAAATTTCACTCAAATTATTCACCCCCAGGAAAGATAATGGTGGGAGCATCAAGGAAAATAACATATGACTGTAGAAAGGTAGAGGCCGTTGGATTGGAAGGGATGTTATCAAATACATCTACTTCGCTTCCAGCTTTCCACATAAATTCTTTTCTCTATTTCCCTCATTTTCTAACTCTCTGGTCTGTACATATTATGTTTGGCTGATGAAGTCCATCAATCATCTAACCACCAAACTTGATTATGATACAGACTGAACACACGTAATCCTCCAAATTTTGCTTCATCAAAGCATCGTTTTTTGTGTGCGTGTGTTTTTGCTTTTTTTTTTTTTTGGGGGGGGGGGGTGGTTTTAGAAATGGTTAAATGAATGCCTTACACCCACACTCTACTTATAGCCAACTTCCAGCATCAAATGACGATAACTTCGTCCACGTATTATCCTATGCCACAGGAAATATATCGAGTGTTGGAAGCTCAGTTCCATCCGCTGCTGGACAAGCCTGAAACCAAAGAGTCATCTTAAATATTTGTATTGAGACTAATTGTACTGAAACCTGAGAAAATTACTTACCATCTTACAAGGCACCTCTGGATTCCTCTAGATATAGGGCGCATGAAAGATGGGTCTCTTTGTGCATAAAGCAAACCTACCTGCAGAAAAGAATAGGTCTGGATTTACCGCATAAATGACTCAGAAAAAGATATAATGATGAAAAACTTGATTAATCAAAATAGATGTAAGGTCTTTCTACTTCCGCTAGTCCAAAATTAAGATAATATCAACCGTCTGTTTCTGAATGTCCTCCAGTGAAAATCCAAGAGTTGGTCTATCGTTTAATTAGAAACAAGAATAACAAATCCAAAAGTAACAAATTGCACCATCTATGTTAAAACAAAAGCAAGAATGGAAGTTTAGATATGCAATGACCTAAACAGGTGGCAAAGTTTAAAAATTGAAGAACCAGAGAGAATGTAAAAGGACTGTAGATTTCTAAATTAAAATGGAAATGACCAAAGACATGTACCTCCAATAGTGCAGTAGCAGAGGGATCATCAAATATTTCTAGACTGCAATCCGCCAGATAATTAAACTGCAGCAATGAAATGAGCAGTATGGCAACATGGATTACAGTAAATCTCCACCACTTCAGAGTTTAAACTAAAAGTAACCTTCTGTACTATAAAATTTCAAAGAATGCACGACTGTACAGTGGAATCATGAACTTGTCCTTAGATAAAACAATCATTTGAGGATTCCAATTAAATGTGCTCCATTTTTCTTTACCATGCAATCTTGTGATTCTTGTCCACTATATTACATAGACAAAGACATGCAATATTGGCTACTATATTACATAGACGAAGACTACTTGTTTGAAATTGTCAATGCAAATGGTCAGAAAAATCTCACTTGCGGACACTTCACAGTTGAAGAATTAGAAAATAAAAATTGCAGAGTATTATACCAAGTAAAATAAAATCCTTTTATTCTGAAGATCAACAATCATCGGAAAAATATCACCGCTTCACCGGCCAAAAACTATCAGGTAATCAAGTGAATCATTTCATATATCTTGAAGATTACTATTTGAGATATCACTTCTTCATTCAATATATCAATTCCTCATATTTCAAATGGCATAGAATATACAAAAATTCTTTCACTGAATTGAAAATGTTCCTTATTCATGCAAGAAAAGTGCAAGCACGAATTCTTCAGATTATTTGCAGGCATATTTGAACCCCCTTTTAATACTTTTTGCACAGAATTTAAAAGTAGTAGAGTAACAGAGAGAGAAACCTTTCTTATCAGACAAAATACAGATACATGCAACATGTTATAATTTCACATTTTCCTAGTGTATATCCATGTCTTATTTTCTCCCTTTTTCTTACACGGGATCTTCTCACAAAAGGACTAAAGAAATGCAAGAGATAAGCAAACTTACCCCAAATTCCGTATTGACTAGAGACTGAACAAAATCCATTAGTTGAAGCTTTGCCCATTCCATGTTTGATGTAGGATCATCAGTTCGCGGAGGATGCCTCCAGGGAGCACCAAAACGTAATTTATCTTTTGAAACCTTCCCAGCACGTACATCAATTGCAAACTTCTGCAAGATCTCCAACGCTCTATCCATGGCAGGATTTACAACAGTAATCTGAATGAAGTTTTTAAAAGGAAACATAGGACACGTTAATCAAAATTGCAGAAGGATATTATAAAACTATGTTAGCTTAACAGTATAAAAAAAAAAAGAAGAAAAAAAGAAAAAAGTACATCAGGGATAATTAGATATGCATATACTTAAAAGATCATAAACACTGATGTACTATGATTTAACCATAAAAAGACACAATTTTACCAAGAGCAAACTTAGTAGAAATAATTTAAATATGCATAATTATTATAAGGCGTCTATCTATAAATGCCAAGTCCTTCAATATATGTTCCTCAAACCTAAATGACTATCTTATGATTATAAGATTCTCAGGCACTGAAAAAAGCCACTTTTCATATTTGCAGAAAGAATTAACATTACACCAGCGTCCAGACAGCTTATGAACCAGGTAATGACTTTTTCCTTACACTTGACCTCTATTACAATTTTATCTATTGATAAACAGGCGCCATTTAAAGTAAATAATATACTGAAAACTCAGCATAGAAAATCCAAGATTATCTTGGAAATACACAATTTATACGCAAGGTACAACGTCTGATCTGATGCAGGAGTCAGAGTATAGTTAATTAACAATGCTTATGGTAGTCTTAAACAAATTTATTGACGCAGAAGACATAGCATCAGGTACAGATGCAATGATTAAGAAATTTTCACAACCACAGCCCAGCACCGAGTTACAAGTGGAATAAAGTCTCATACTTTTGGTGAGAGTGAATGTGTTCTAATACGTTGTAACAAATTTTCCTAATTGGATAGATACATTCCCTTGCCGGAAAACTGAAAAATTTGGTACCCTTACCTCAACTGAAACAACTGCTATAGTATAAAAGATATTAAATCCATATTTTGATGAAATGGAAAATATCCAATTTCTCAAATTTAACTACTTTTAGACAAAATTTAATCTCAAGATTAAAATATGTGTAAACAAACACAAACATCAATATCAATCAATATAAAATATAAAGGCTCTAATAAGATGCACTGTTCACAAGCAGTGAATAAATAGTACAAGTCATTATTAAGATGCCCTGTAATGCATGGGAGATGAGACTGGGACATAATTGCTATAAATTTACAATGCTAAGCGAAAAATAAATAACTTTGGAATATAAGTTCAATTTTTTTTTAAATGAATATTTCCAGTAAAAGAATGCAATTTATACTCTTAAGGGCATTTTGGTAATATTTGGCTTTTGAGGGTAAGTTTTTGCCTTCAAAATAAGAAGAGTCGTGCAATTTGAATATCTCTCAAGGAATAATAGAGTAGTTTACTCTATTAAAATGGAACATGTGATTCCAGGCATGTGCTGAAACTTACTTGCAAATATGCTAAATAAGCATCCAAAATGTCCTCAAAGGTACTCTTGTCCCCAGCGACCCTACATTTGAACAAAATGCATGAGCAAAATCATCATCAAAAGTATAGTATCAATCAAGTAAAAAAGACTACACTGCGTAAAAACTCATGGAAAGCAATTACACATGATATGTAAGAATGCCAAGATAACATTAGTTCAGAGTAGGATCAAATAACCCTCAAATAATTCTTACTTCTGGTAATAATTGCTTTGTTTGAGCACATAAAGTTCAAATAGATGTCGAGGGCTTGGCCCAAGTAACTCGGCAAGAATTGTCCACTGCAATATAAAAATTACTGGTTAATTCACACAAACATATTCCTGGAAATAACAAAAAAAAAAAAAAAAAAAAGAAACTGAAAATTTTCAGCATGATAGCATGGTCTCCTTACTTCAGAGTGACTGAAATAATCAGCAACCATGTGCATTTTAGCTTCTTGTGGAGTCCATCCAAAGGCCTGCCAGTCAATAATTCTTCTATGAGTGACATAAAGTATTGCGCAAACCAAATTGAAAATCAAATGGGATCTTGAACTGTTACAGACAACTCTTCATATCTCACACAAACAACCATAAATGATATCCTCACTTCATAACTGTGTTGCACAAGTAACCTTGGGAAATCGATTACAACTTCTGCTTATTGAAGAACTTGAAGGCAGCTCAATAGATGCACAAACACACAATAGCATGTCTAACAACAATTTTGTTTCCCAGAATGTAAACACATTAAGATGTAATTTAAGCGTTCCCAAAATTTTCAAGCTTGCAGCATTAAATTATTCAATCCCATTTAGTGACTCCAAGAAGGCAGGGAGACAGAAAAATATGTATAGATCATTTTTGGCATTTTTTGAGTTCAAATACATGTACATTCATGCATCTGCAATCCCAGATCCATGTAAAATTGTTAGTATGTGCATGTCTCAAAGAGAAAGAAGTAAATGATTTTGATCAAAGTACCTCACGGGAGACGAATATGTCAATGAATCCAAAATCCAAGAAAGCTTTGTATGGATAGTAACTGAGTCAAAGAACAAGGTATTAGAATTCTTGAACAGGCTAGAACGACCCTGCTTATATAAAGTAATCCTACAAGATACTACATTAGAATAAGACATTTAGCGCAGGTAAGAGAGAAAAGAATATTAGCACAAACTTCTACTATAAAGACGGTTGAGAAGTTGACAAGAAACAAGTCAGAACCAGGCAAAGGGTGGGTATACATAGCCGGACCAAGTATGTTGACATTCAATTGCATGGAATTTGACAGATATCAATGCAACAAATTTAACTCTTAAGCCTACAAAAAAAAGTTTCAATAGATTACAGTGGAAGATAAAATACAAATGACCGGTTTAATCAACAGTAGAATACATATTTGCCACCGAATAATGAATTTCTAACTATAAAATGCTCTTAATGGTTCTATCTATTCATGTTATCTGTATTGTCAAAGCAGGCATCAGGTAGTTCACTCATCAGTAGTTTCAACTTTATCCATATCATATAATTGTTTAGTAAAAAAATATGTTTATATAAACATCTTGCAGCACACCAGCAATCAAGATCATGCCCTAAAATAAGTGATCCTCCAGAGGATCAACAAGAACCCCAACTTCAAAGACTTCATGAAATTGCAATCACATGTTTTCTAGGTTATCTAAGGATTCATGGGCATGGAACAGGGAAAATGAATTTTTCTTACAAAAGGAAAATGAGCATTTAAAAATCCACATAATCCCAATTCATAAGTCCTAACAGTGAAGCTATGCATGAAATACAGATGCTCTTAAATTTGGAACCATATCATGAACAACAAATATGCATTAAAAAAAAAAAAACTTTAGCGCTAATTCCTATTAAATAAGAGTTTCATATTGTCATTAACGGTGAAAGGTGAGTGAAAATGAAGCCAAGAGAATGAAACATACCTATCAGATGTCACCAGAATCACAGGTAAACTACGCACGTTAACACCCAAAGCAATTATTCTCCATATCAAACTATCATGATATAGCGGTCCACTAACTGACAACTCATCATTTAGAGTTGCATGCTTCAAAACTTCAACATTGTTAATAACCAACTTTGGCTGCAAGTAATTTGAAAGCATCAGCAAATTGAACATCAAATTCACTTCACAAAAACTTCATCAAGTTTGTTCTACACACCATACAGAAAATGCATTCCCAAAAACTTTGCTTTTGGAATCATTTGCAAGCCAAAAACTAAAACACAGGTGGCATGATACTAGCATGGTATCTATCCTTTTAATCAGTTAATACAAGGAACGAATATATATATATATATATATATAGAGAGAGAGAGAGAGACACACACACACACACACACACACACACACACACACCCCACAGCGTTATAACATAACTACCTGAAAATGATCAATTTCAGCAGCTTGTGACAACAACTCCAACAATAAACAGGGCCAGTCAGTACAACAATGTGCCAAAGACCTTGAAAACCCACCTGTCCTGTTCAGATGAGCAATGGCATTAGCTCTCCAGCCTTGTTGAACCTTAATAACCTCCTTTGCCAGTTTCAGCGCCACAATTGCCTCCTTGAAATACGAAGCCTCCTCAACAGAGAGATTACACCCCTTCTCACCCAACCCCAAAATCCGATCAATCTCATTGGCATTACATCGATCAGATACAGCAAAAATTGCGTGATCCCACAATCTGGAGAGCGAAATCCTGCTTGAAACAGCAGTTTTTGAACCAATACTGCTCCGCAGTATACGCTTGAGTGCTGTATTTAGACCATGCCATTTGTTCAGGGTGGTGAATATTTGCTGCGAGTTGATGGTTCCAAGCATGATCCCCTTTTCTGCCATGGATTCGAGGCAGTGTTCAAGCTTCTTCCGGCAATCTGACAAAGGGGGTGGAGGGCAATTCGACCAAGAAGTCCATGGAAATGACTGATTGTATTGTGGGTGGTGATCTTTGATGGTTTCAGCAAAATCTACATACCCAGTGAGGTGGGGGCCTTTGTTCCAATCGCCGAGCAAGCCTGGAAACTAAAATTTGTAAGAGAAAGTAGATTCAGAGTTGAAACAAGAGAGAAGAAGGAAAAGAATGTACGTTCAAGTATGAGAGTGGTTTTTCCAACGCCTCTCGGTCCGTGAAGAATGAGAGGCTGAGGAACGCGAGGGTGCTGAACGTGGTTGTTTAAAATGGTTTCAAGTAGGGGTCTTGGTATTATCTTCCATGGTTTTTGCACCATTTTGTTTCTGTTGAGGCACTCAGCAGCTATGATTCTGAACTGAGGCGGAGATCGAAGCAGGGTTTTTGGGGGGTTTATCAGTCTCGGACCAACCAACTGTCCATTTTGGTTTTGGGTGGAGATCCATATTCCAATCCGCCATCCCCTCACTCACTCCCCCATTGTCTCCAACTCAGAAATGCCAAAAGGATATTTTTTTTTTAGTTTAAAAAAAATTAAATCACACGGTTAATTGTTCATGAATAATATAATTCATTTTTTTTTCCAGAAATGGATGTAATTGGATAAATGTATGTTAATTATAGAAAATTCCCTAATCTTTTTTTTTGCCAGACCCTAATCAAAATTTAATACTTGAATTTTATTATATTTCATAAAATGATGAAGTGACAAAAACCCCAAGTAACAATAGTAGAAATTTGATTGAAAATTTAGTTGTCACTTGTCATAGATATATGGCTTTTCTAATGTAATTTATTTTATTATATACTAACATATGATATATATATGGAATAGAGACAATTGGGAAAAACATAGTAAAACAAAGGGAATTTAGGTTAATATAAACTTTAGTCTTTCAAATTTGCTCTCATTTTGGTTTTGGTTCCTCGAATTTCTTTTAATGTAAAACATTAGTCCCTATAATCTAATAAAAACTTGGACCATTTTGCTTTAAGGGACCAAAACATATGATTTGAAACTTAAGGACCAAAACCAAAATAAAAGCAAACTTGAGGGATCAAAGATTATATCAACCGGGAAATTTAGTACGAATGTATGTCAAAACAAAGAAATAGTGCATCAGTTGTATATATCTCTTGAAAACTGTTCTTGTTATAGCCCTGAGAATTAGATGACATTTTTTGCCACGAAAATTAAATGTCTGAAATTTCACATTACAAGAGAAACTATAATATTTAATTAAATTATGTAAGTATTCTATGACTGGAGCAATGGAATAGAATATAAATCAGTGTTCTATGTAAACATCCCAATTCATAATTACTAGCCCTCTTTTGAGGAAAATGGACAATTAGATAACTCATTAGATCATAAAGAAAGCAAAGGAGAAAACATTCCAGATTGGTGTGGTGAACCCTGCTCTTGTTTTAACTCGCTAGAGGTTTGCTTATTGTTAGTCATTGAATTAATCCACGCCTCAAAGAGATCATCTTTAGTATTGGTTGTGGTTATTGTTGTCTCACTAGCATTCTTTTCATAATATGTTGCTGCTTCTGACTTTGCACCATCAAAATCCTGAGCCCAGAAAGTTGAAGAGTGGGGAGCAAGGGTCGGAATTGTCATTGCCTTGTTAACATTTTGTGTGCTTAAGGTGGTCGGAGCTGTGGTTGTCTCATCATGGGGATGAAAAGTCGGTGAAGTTGAACCAATCTTATAAGGAGCTGCGATATGAAGGGCTGGTTCTGGAGTGATGGTATTCAAACTTTGAGCATGAAAGGTTGGTTCTGCAACCATCCGGGTCCCAGAGGTATCTTGAGGAGTAAAAGTTGGTGATAACTTCATCCCATTGAAGTCACCAAGAGGCTGAGCCAAAATGGTGGGAATTATACCATTTACCAGTGGAGGTTGGTGTTATTGCTCCCTTAAGAGGATTCTGACCACTAACCACTGGAACACTTCCCTGAAATGTGGGCGTCGGATCAAAAAAATTAGCAAAACCAGCTTTATAATTTTCAGTAGTAGAAGGAACAGTGCTTGTTGTATTTTCTAAGAATGGATTGTATTCGGCTTGAGGTGTTGAAGAAGGCTGATCAAATAATAAATCAAGGATTGATGAGCTTATCCCATTTGAAAATTTATTAGTGGAGCTGTGTTGGAGATTTGGTAGTTCCTATCCCAGCAAACACCAAATCCCAACAATCTTTGGAGCCATTATTCGAACCAAGGGTTGTTTTTTGTTGTTCCTGATCTCTTGTTTGATTAACATGCTGGTTGACTTGCTTGGGTGCAGATGATATCTCAGCTAGCACTAGATCCCAGCAATCTAGGGAACCATTTTTTGAACTCGTAGGTTTCTGTTCCTGATCTCTTGTTTGACCATCATGCTTCTCTCCTTGCTTGGATGTAGATTCTATCTCAGCCAGCACTAAATCCGTTTTATCTGTGGACCCATTGTTTAAACTCGAGGTTGTATTTTTCTGTTCTTGGTCTCTTGTTTGACTATTATGTTGCTCTACTTGCTTGGGTGTAAATGCTATCTCAGCCAGCATTAAATCCCAACAATCTGTAGAACCATTTTTTGAACTCGAAGTTGTATTTTTCGGCTCCTGATCTCTTATTTGACTATGCTGTTGCTCTATTTGCTTGGGCGTAGATGTTATCTCAGCTAGCACCAAATCCCAACAATCTTTGGATCCCTCGTTTGAACTCAAAGTTGCATTTTGTTGATCCTGATCTTTTGTTTGGCTATTACATTTCTCTGCTTGTTGGAAATCATCAACAATCACCAAGTCAAAACATGAACTTGTTTGATCAATTGGTAATGACATGCCCAGGCTCAAGCCCGCATCATCAGTAGTAACAATCAAGAGTTCCTCCAATGATGAACACTGAGAACCATGTTCAGATCTATGCTCCGAAGACTTTGAAGGTGCCTCAGGTTGCTCGTTAGCTTCGTCCTGGCTTGAAATTGAATAAGTACCCTTTGGCAGAGGTGGCAGAAGATTGTGTTTGGAATCACGAACTGGGGATCGTGGTTGGCCATTATTTGTAGATAATGAGGCATGATCTTTCAAGAATTCTTGCATTGTGTCCATAATATCATTAGACACCTTTTGCACACTTGGGTACTCAGACTTCCTCCCAATTCCAAGGCTTGCACAAAAAGCATAGAATCCAGATAGCTCATCAAATTGTGTAGAAGATTTGGCACAAGCTTTGAAGGCAGTGACACATGCCTTATATGGCAACTCAAAGAAGCTATCTAAGATTACAGAAAGCCCGTCAGAAATGTCCCTATACAGATCAAAACTCTCTTGAACAATAGCATATAAAGAAATCTTAATCAAAATATTTTTCTTTGCTGCCCCAGTTGGGCGTGACCCAATTGCTCTATCCAACAATCTCTGCCAGTGAGTAATTCTATCAAGCACTAGTGTGGGTTTCATGCCTTTAACCCTTGGTTCATTAGACATCTTACTAAATTTCAAATTCTTCTTTTGGATTCCTTCAAGATAACATGTGAATCGACGTTGAAGCTTTCCTGTGAGAAAGCAATCTAAGCGTTCATAAGGTACAGAGCAAAAGTTCTAATAAAGGAAGTATAATCCCAAGAATTTGGGGTTGAATCATCCTTGAAATTACAGAGATTAAGAATTTTAGCCCCTCGTTTCATCGCATGGAAGATTTCTCTGGGGAAATATGGATCGCCGTCTTGAAAGATTCTAAGCACAAGCACGAGGGATTTTAAAGCAACCACCCAATTGTGAGTTCTGCCAATTCGTTTGCCTATCGCTTGGGCACAAACCGCTGCATAAACTTTGTTGGAAGAGACTAAAAGAACAATTTCACTCACATACCGATTTTCCATTGGGATTTCATCATGTGTGGTGGCTTTAAGAATGTTAACCTCAAGATTCGCTGCACTGCTCACCTTGGCTAAGCCTATACTGGTTTGATCTTTCATTGCCCCTATGGCCTTCCTTAGCTTGCAAGCCATGGTGCATTGTTCAAATTTCACTTCGATTTCCAAGCTTTTTTTCCTTTAATTTTTCTGTTGTAGTTGTTGATTATTTTTTTGTCCCCGACATGGGGTTTATGGAAGAGTGAAAGGTGTTTGGGAGAGAAGAAAATTGACAGTTATTATGCAGAACATTTCTGATCTCAGTGATGAAGAGAAGTTAGGATGTGTCGATGAAATGTTCCATATTTAGAGTTAGAAGTGTACATTTGCATGGTGGAGAGTGTAGAATGGGGAGTCAACCTTGAAAACAGGAAGATTTATTCCTTTGGCTGACCAATGTATGCATTTGACTATGTCATGTCATTTTCAGAGTTTCTCCACATTATTAGAATTATCCATAGTTTATTATATGACAACTAAATATTTTTCACCTCATTAAGTTACCTATTCATCATGATTTCGACTACGCACTGATTAAAAAAAAAAAAAAGTAAACACCCTATAGGAGTGATAATTTTTCAAATATTTTCTTTTTAGGTTTGGTCTTTTTAGCTTTTCCACTTTTTTTTTTTTTTGGGTTCAAAATCTAAAAGTTGGCAACCAAGTTTACCTTTTCATTAAATAATGCCATTGTTTTTTTTTTTTTTTAATTACACACACATCAGCTTCCCCATAGGAAGGTCTCCCCAACACACCACCAGAATTCAACGCCGGATCTCCCACTTTGGGAGGCATAGTATGCCCTCAAGCCATAGGGACTTTGGCAAATAATGCCACTGTGTTGTGGGCCTTCATTAATTTTTTCCCTTTTAACTCATCAATATATCTTATAAGTTCAGTTAATAGAAATGAGAAAACAAAACACCAAATCACAATCAAATCAAGTTTTCTTTTTCTTTGTTAAATATATCAGTCATTGATTTAGGCTGGAGCTTTATCGACCAATGACAGGGCTTCAAATAGAACCTGCTGATCTGTACAGAAGGTTCAAATCCAATAATAAAGCAGAAGCAGTTTTGCAGCTGCAACTTTGTTGACGATTTCGGGAATCCTTCACACCCTGACAAATGCATGAATAAACTTGTTTACACCTTTAATTACCAATAACCTCCACAGGAACAAAGCCCATTACTAAAATGATGAAAGCGCTTGTTGTCCCTTATGATAATCTCCCTTTTAACTACCTTTGATATGAATTTAGCAGCATTATGACAGTCCACACAAATACGTAGATTTTTACAAATTCTCAGCGGTGAACCCTTGGTTGTATTTAATAACCCAAAAGAAATTGCAAGCTTCTCACTATGACCTCGTAGAATTTCAATCTTCTCATCTTCTTCCAGTTCATGAAGCACACAACTTGTGTCAGGTTTGTATCCAATTTTGCTTATTTTCTTCTCCAATTTCATCCATGTCTGCCAAATCTTCTTCGATTCCAACAGTGATGCATCTCCAACGAGAAATCTATACACTTTCCCTCCTACCTCCATCCAACTGCAACCTGCATCTTTTTGAAGGCCAATCCCCTTCATCCTTTGCCTCACATTTCTCACATCATCCCATTTCCCTAGTGAAGCGTACAAATTTGATAGCAATACATAGTTTTCAACTTTGTTGGGCCCCAACTCCAGTAACTTTCTGGAAGCTTTCTCCCCAATATCCAAATCACCATAATTCCTGCAGGAACTAAGTAATGAACTCCATATCATTGAATCTGGTTCCTCAGACATCTCGTTCACAAGTTTTAAAGCTTCATTCAGTTGGCCTGCTCGACCAAGCATGTCTACTACACAAGCATAATGCTCTAGCTTGGGCTCTATGCCATACAAACTTTGCATCTGACTGTGATATTTGAGCCCTTCCGTTACTAAGCCAGAATGGCTACATGCCATTAAAAGTCCTATAAATGTCAAAGAATCTGGCTTGCAGCCTGAGGCTTGCATCATTTCAAATAGCTCTATAGCCTCGTGTCCACGCCCATGAATTCCATATCCTGCAATTAAAACATTCCATGATGCTTCATTTCTCTCTTTTAACCTGTCAAAAATGTTTCGAGATTGTTTCATGCACCCAGATTTTGCATACATGTCCATCAGCGAGCAGCTAATGTAAGTGTCCTCTGTTAGATGAGCTTTTAACAACAAGGAGTGAACTTCTTTGCCCAAACGCAGAGCAGATAACTGCGAGCAAGCCCCCAGAACGCCTATTATGGCTATCTCATGAGGTTGAGTTCCATTTAATAGCATTTGACGAAATGTGTCAATGGCTTCACTAGGAAGTCCATTATGTGAAAAGCCACTAATCATTGAGTTCCAACTTACTACACTTCGGTCTTCCATCTTATCAAACAACAGTTTTGCTCGTAACATGTCCTCACAGTGAATGTAAAGTGACAATAATGATATCCCAACAAATTCATCTAACTCTAGACCATTACGTAGCATAAAGCTATGAATCTCTTTACCAGATTGTAGTAGTTTCAGATGAGCGCAGGCTAGAAGAAGGCTTCCTACAGTGAATGAATCAGGATCTACGCCAGACTCTGTCATTAGAAGGTACAAGTCCAGAGCCTCTCTAGGAAAACCATTTTGTGCATATCCGCCAATTAGTGCATTCCAAGAGCTCACTGTCTTCGTCTTTATGCCATGAAAGGCACGCTCAGCATAAGTGGGTGACATACACTTTGCATAAGCGGCTACAAAAGCATTGGCAACCAATTCAACATCTTGAAATCCATGCCTGAAAGTGTAACCGTGCAGTTCTTTCAAGCTCCCCAGTTGAGACTCATCTAAACAAGCTGGCAGGACATTCAGTAGTGTCACCTCATTTACCACTATCTCATCTTTCATCTGCATCTTCCGCAGGAGATCAAATGTTCCATAAGTATCTCCTTCTTTAGAGTATCCGCCAATCAGGGAATTCCAAGAAACCACATTTCTGTTATCATTCCTATCAAACAGAATTTGCGCTTCAGGCAAGTAATTGCTTTTTGCATACATGTCGACAAGGGAATTGTTAACCATCAATTCTTGAGTTAGACCCAATTTCACAGCCAAACCATGAAGCAACATCCCCATGTTCAAATCCCTTTCAGAAGCAGATACAGGTATTATTGTCACCATTGTAGCAGAATCTGGGACAAGGCCTTGCTCACTATTTAGAAGCCCCTTAAACAGGACATAGCTGTCGTGAGGAAGTCCATTCTCTGAATATACATACATCATTGAATTCCAAGAAATCAAGTTTCTTTCAGGCATACATTCAAACACTTCCAGAGCTTCATCGATACACCCACATTTTCCATACATTGCAATCAACGCATTACCCACAAACCCATCAGAGGAAAAAGCCATCTTTATCGCTAATCCATGAATTACCTTACCCAAATTAACGTCCAAAAGTCCAGAACAAGCCTTAATCACGCAAGGCAATGTGAAATTATCTGGACTGAATTCCGTCACGGAGATCAACTCGATAAATAACAAAACTGCATCATGAAAAAGGTCGTTTCTGGCATAGGCACTAAGAAGCGCATTCCACTGAATCAAGTTCTTCCTCAGCATGCCATTAAAAACGAGATGAGAATCGAAGGGGGAACCACACATAGAGTACATAGTAATAAGCCGGGTATTAAGAACAAGGTCATTGCTGAATTGAGTCGATGCCGAGACCATTTCGTGAACTTTCCGGCCAACCTCGATGTCTTTGTAGCGCGTACAAGCCTGAACTAAGACTTCTATAGCTTCTTCTTTCTGCATTGAAGTGGAAATAGAATTGTCAAAATCTTCTTGCAGGAAGGTAAGAGCCTCATTGAGCTTCCCCGACTCGCAAAGCTCGTGTATGTGTTGAAGATAAGAAGCACGATGCGGTAAGTTGTCGGCAAAAGGAAGGCGAGTTTTTGGCTGGGTTGGTCTTGAGTGAGAAAGAGACGCCTTAGGAATCCAAATTGAACGAAAAGGATTGTTATTTGATATGGAAGTGATTTTGCCAGGAAAGGGAACCTTCTGGGTGTGATAGCATGATGGTGGCGGCGACAGAGAAGCCATAAGCAGCACCGGCAGCTGGAGATAAAGCCACAACAGCAACCCTATTGGCACATCGATCTCAGCTAGATTTCCTATGATGCGGTTGTCCGCTGTTAGAATTTTATGAATTTATCTCCCTGACACTGCGGCATGTTTTCTTGGATAATCATGATTTTTCACAGATAATTTAAGGCAAGGGTTCTTAATACACAAAAAATATGGGATTTTAAGCTGAGACCAAACTAAGGTATTGTGGAAAATTTTGTCTTTATGTGGGTGTATATATACATATAATAATTTAATATATCTCAATAAATCAGAATTCTTTTCTCAGTCATCACTGGCATGTGATCACCCGCCGGTGTAGCTCGAGTCTACTTCATTCCTTCCCTCCGCCGTGACGCAGCCGCTGCTACCATCCATCACGACGGTGGCGCGTGGTCCTGCAGCTTCAGCTTCCCTCAGGTGTTTCGTCTGCCTAAGATCTTTCCTTTATCTATTCTGTCTCTTCATCAGAGTATTTTGTTTTTCTACTCAACAAATCAGAGTAGTTTGTTTGGTTTACCTTTTTGAGGATTCCCTTTCTGTGTACCGCTCCCCAGTCCCTTTTGCTTGATCTCCGTTCCCAATCAGGGAAAACCCTCAGTGAATTTTGGTTTTTGAATCAATACAGAGCAAAGAGTGAGTGTATTTAGGAATTTGGTGGGAAATGAAATCCATAATGTGAGAAGAGTCAGGCTATAGGGAAACGAGTGCATCAGATCTCTGGTAAATGATCTTTCGGTTTTTGGGATGTAAATCGTCACATGCTTAATGATTTTACATTTCGCGGGTTCCAGGGAAGGTGTGCCGGACACAAATTCGGTGTCTGATGTGGGTTTTCCTGCGGCATCTTGTTTGGACGTGTTTTTTGTTTTCTGGGACCTAAAGGGCTGGAACTATTCTCTGAGCTTCTATCTTTTTTCATTGTTGTGATTGAAGGTTTGGCTTGGTAGATATCTGTTGGCTTAAATCACTATGACTGCCAAAAATTTCAATTTTCTTTAACGCTGATGCAACTGCAAGAATTCCTGACCCTTAACTTACAGACTTAGGATGGAAATTCAAAGATTAACAGTCACCTCTGCATTTATCTGATTGATGTACTTCTCTCTTCTTCCCTTTTCGCTAGTATCATGTCTGAAAAAGCTAACAAAAGTGGAAATAAAATATTAGTTAACATTTTTGCTCAGTTTCAATTTCAAATAATCATGAATTATATCTTTGGAAGCACAAAACTTTAGTCAAGTTGCTTACATCTAGTAAGTCAAGTTCATAGGTGAATTTATAAGTGCATATATGCATTTAACAGCTAATAATGGCAAAATAACAAGTGTAATTGTAGAACTTAACCTAATGAATATAAGAAACTTAACCTAAATTTTGTCCTTTTCAGAAATAACAGGTTGGCTTATAACATTGGAGAGATTTATTGATTGATGAGATAATTCAGAAAGAAGCGGACATATTTATCACTCTTCTCTGCAAGTAGGTAACAAATCGACAAACAAGCTTTTATCTTATACATAATTCTTATAATACATATTTGTAGAATTTTGGGTCTAATAAAATTAATTTTGCAGCAAGTTGTTTTCATTTTCATTGAAATACTTTATTTCTGCAGTTTCCTACCATTGCTTTGAATTTTTGAGTGATCAGAATGGTGCTGGTCTTAGCCCTGGGAGATTTGCACATACCCCATAGGGCACCTGATCTGCCTCCAAAGTTCAAATCGATGCTTGTTCCGGGCAAGATCCAACACATCATTTGCACTGGAAATCTATGTATCAAGGTTTGTCTTCTTATTGTCCCCGTTTGTTGAATTATCGTGATGTTGGTGAGTAATGGTATGTTTTTCAGTGTATCCTCACTATACATCGGACGAGTATTGAGTAGATATAAAGGTGTCTTCATAAATGTTTAGATTGTAAAATTGTTGATATCGATATGAAAGTTAAATTTTAGTACACTGATTGTTTGAATTCAGACTTGTTTCCAGATTTGAGAGGAAGCTAGCATTTTGTTCGTGTGTTAAAGTTCATTTATCTTAGTCCAGAAGTTCATAAAAAAATCAAATATATTTTTTCATTTTTATTATAAAAAAAAAAAAAAAAAACCTCACTAGTGTGGATGTTGGCTTTAATCTCCCCCGCTGAAAATGTTTTGTAAGCATAATTTTAAGTCTTAACTCGTCATCATCATGCAAATTTAAGCATTTTGATAAGGAAGCTCCGTCAAGTTGAAATGGAGCTTAGAAATTTGGATTCTAATGTCGGAGTGACTCCAATATAAACTTGCAAACTCATGCAAGGTCTCGAGTTTACACTATGATTCTGCAGCAAGTTGCATGATATGGACGGATACAGGATTCTTGAACTTGAATTTCTTGGCTAACTTCGATGCCAATTATGTTCAGGAAGTCCATGACTACTTAAAGACTCTTTGTCCTGACCTGCATATAACTCGTGGTGAGTATGATCAAGAGGCGAAATATCCAGAGACCAAGACACTTACTATTGGTCAATTTAAGCTTGGACTATGCCATGGTCATCAGGTCTGATTTTCTTTGCTGTTATTTCCCCCGATTCTTTTCAAGATATATGCGGAGCATACCTTTTATTATTTCTTTGGCAATTTAGGGAGATGCACTTTGAGTTCCCATGATAAAAGGAATATACTTTAATGGAAGAGGGGTTTTTCTTGGGCAGTTTCTCAGGTCTTTTGTCTGAATTGCCTTGCAGCACCTCCAAACTTAGCAGTTAGCTGGATCATTCATATCAGTGTGCACATTTACATGTTCAATTTTTCACTCTTATATTTTGGTCTCTCCTAGAGGTCACGGGTCTAAACCCTGTACGTCCTCTTGCGAGAATAAAACTGTGTACATTTATCCCTCTTCAAACCCCTGATAGATGTCCTGTGCACTGGGCTGCCTTTTTGTATTTTGGTGTCTCCTCATTTTGATTGAATGGCGTAAAGTAATTTACACATGCTAGTTTATCACAAAGGCCACGACTTTTTGTAATTTCCTTTCAACCACGTCAAAATGGTGATACGATTTATCACTGACTCGCTATTCAAATGAAAGAGAATTTTCTTTGCTGAGTTGTGATAATTACAAGATGAATATGTGTTCTTAACCTTTGTGAAGGTTATTCCATGGGGAGACCTAGACTCACTAGCAATGCTTCAAAGGCAGCTTGATGTGGACATTCTGGTCACAGGTCACACCCATCAGTTTACAGCTTACAAACATGAGGGTGGTGTTGTTATAAACCCAGGTTCAGCAACTGGCGCCTTCAGTGGCATGACCTACGACGTGAATCCAAGTTTCATTCTCATGGACATCGATGGCCTGCGTGTAGTTGTCTATGTTTATGAGCTCATTGATGGAGAGGTTAAGGTTGACAAGATTGATTTCAAGAAAACACCCTCTTCCCACTCTGCTCATTGAACTGAACAGTGAACACCCTGTATTTAGCTCTTGGCCTAATGTGTGTTTGGCCAAATGAAGAAAAAGAGTTTTTTTTTTTTTTTGGGGTGTCGTCACCTTCCGCATTTTATCATTTTTTCCTTAACTTGTCTCAAACTCCCTCAGGCGTTTCTGTTTTAGCTCTATTTTGCTGTGAACACTTGTAATTTGATAAATTTGTGATCTATGAAATATAACTGATTAGCTGGACCATTCTGTACTGTATTGGCTAGTTAGTGCTTGGCTTCACCCCAAACCGCCTTAGAGGCTGTAAATTCATAGAAATGGGTTGTGTGCCGTATTGCATTGGAGAGGACATTCTAAATTCACCAACTAATTTTTAACATGTTTTACACAAGCCCAAAAAAAAAACTTTAAACTTTATTAATTCTTTTTTAAAATTCAATAATTTTTAACTTTATTCATATTTCATATATAATATATTTTATGTAAATAAATCAACACAATAATACATGAATAGTAAAATTGTACATTCATACAAAAATTTTTCTTTCAATGTCCTATGAGTAGAATCGAAAAATATCTTTTCTCTTTGCTTTATAAATAGGACGAGAGGAGTGACAATCGACATTAGTCAATTATAAAGAATAGGGCACAAAAGTACACTAGTCTTGAAACAAAACTACTCCTCCGGTCCTTATTATAAGACTCCATTTGACTTTTTATTTGGTCCTAATTATAAGACCCCAATACATTTTGTTTCTTATATTTATGCATTTTTTTCAAAATAATCCTTCTAATAATGATAGTTTTAGCCAATATACTTAATTAGCAAGAATATTTTAGGAATAAGAACACTTATTTATTATAAATAACCAACTTAACTTACTTTCTTAATCTCCTCAAATAAGTCAATTGGGTCTTATAATTAGGACCGGAGGAGTATCTTTCAACCATTTTTAACATGAATAAAAAAATTATTTTCCACAAAAGAAGATAAAGGATTGTTCTAAAGAGCAAATACTTTTGGTATTATTGCAAGAAATGGAAATTCTGTTCAGGGGACATATGACATATCCCATGAGCACTCAAATTCTGTGGTGGGCCTCACACCTAATTTGGCTTTTCACCGTTAGGCGGAAAAAATTGCAATGTTGTGAAATATTCTATAGAGTAATAATTTGCTAAAATTGATTTTTAATATTTAATTAAATAATTAATGTTGCAAGGCAACATGTGCTCAAGAGAGTTTAGAAGGGCCAAGACTAGAGCCGAAGACGGTCGTGAATAACTCTACTCACAAAGACAGATAACAGCAGTTCTCTACAACGATTTCCTTTTGTCATTCTCCAAAACCTAGGATATTCTGGCAACTTAACTCATTTAATTTTCTGGAAAATTTCAACCAAAAAAAAATCTCAGGTCAGTCTTGTTATACTGACTTTACTTGAAAAACAAATAATAATATATTTTTGTAGTAATTTTTATTTTAGAATTTTGAAATTCATGTGGTATCTTTTGAGAATTTTCCTTTTATCTTTCTTTGATTCATGCTTTCAGTTGAAACATTTTTTTCCCACCCATTTATGAATAATATTTTTTAAAGAAATCTGTTTGAGTTATAATTGTTAATTTGTTACTCCCTCCGTTCCTTATTATAAGACATTTGATGCTTATGGCATGTTCCTATATATAAGAGACACTTACAAGTTGTCTCTACTTTTTTTGTGTTGATTTACTATTTTATCCATATTTATTATCTCCAACTCACACTCTCTCTCTCTCCCCACTTTTCTTTCTTTTAATATTTAATTGTTCTCTCTCATGCTCCTCTCCTTATTAATGAGGACATTTTTGGAAAAAAAATTATACTTTTTTACACATTAATTGTTCTTAACTAATTTTACTGTTTTTTTTTTTATCAACGTACTTCGGTTTTTGTCTCTTATAATAAGGAACGGAAGGAGTATTATAAACTGAGCTACTTGGATTTTTTACAATAAACAAAATAAATTAGGATTTTATATTTAGAATAAAATAAAAGTCAAATAAATTCTTATATTAGTTACGGAGTATACCATAACTGAGCTACTTCAGATTTTTATTTATATAATATTAAGCAGTTTTGGAAATAAACCTTCAGCATATAAATTATAAGCTATGCAATATATATATATATATTATTTATATATATATATAGTTATCCTAAATTGTAACTTTCCTGTTCTTAAAGGAGCCTAAAAAAAAAAAGGATAGCCAGATTGGATCCTGGCTTTAATTTTTGTCATAATAAAAATATTTCTTTTGCTAAAAAGGACGGAAAGATATACATATCGATTAAAATATTTTTAAAGTTTACAAAGTATTAAATCATATTGAACCATAAGAAAATACATGAAGAGAAATTAACTTTAAAAAATGAAAATCGTTATTTAATAAAGTTAAATAACTTAAAATTTTCTTATATGATTTCAGTGATTAAAAATTAAAAGAATATTTTTAGGACAGTTAAAATTTAAATAGAAAATAAATTTTATTAGGATGCAAGAGTTGAGCATGCTAAGGAATCCAAAATATTAAGAGACAAATGAAACCATTAAAATGAATTAATAAAATTGATCATAACGCCAACGAAACACTATCTCAAGAGGGGCATAGCCCTTTTTCTTCCTCGACGACCCAAGCATTCCACAGGTCGAGCCAGCCGTCGGACGCCGTCCACCGCTGTCAACTTTCTGTGGTTGTTCTCCGGCAAGTGTTGAAGAGGGTTCGTATCCTGGGCTTGATTTGAGTTTGTTCCTCGCGTTATCTGTTCCCTGCGTGGTTTTCAGCCCTGTGTTGAGCGCCGTCGCACCGTTTCTTGCTTTGCTTTAATTTTTTTTAGCTTTGTTTACTATTTCTTTCCTTGAGTGGTGTATAATTGGTTTTACTGGCGACTTATATGCTTTGGATTGTGTGGTTGTGCAGTGTTGGATTTGTTGTGTACTGGCAGTCGGTTTATCAATCTCTTTTTATTATCATCAATTTAGAAAATTCTCATGGTATTTGTGATTCATGATATGGTAAAAAAAACTTGGCTCGATTTCGGTCTGGCAATTTAGAAGCTTGAGTTCAAATCATTTCCTGCTGCTTATTGGTATGCGAATTTGGAAGTTATTGACACAAACAATCAATTGCCCACCTTACTCACTCTAGGCAACACTTTTCATGATCATAAATTGCAGGAGTGTTATCATTGTCATTCTTCAGTGGCTTGGATGAATTGCTTGAATCAATTGGCTTACTAAGTCAACTTTGTTAAAGTATCTGGAACAAAAATTAAAAGTGTATGATATCAAATATACTTGTTTCAAAGATTTCAGTGGGGTTGGATGCCCCCCGTTGAGTGTAATGTAGGTACACCCGTGCAAATGGCATGCTGATCAGTTGCATTTTGAGCAAATCAAGTAGTTTGGAGTACGTAATAAACCTAAATTTTCCTTTTTTATTTTTAGGGGAGCATCCGAGAATGGCATCTCAAGTAATCCGTGAGTGGGCTGGAATCAATACGTTTGCACCTGCAACCCAGACAAAGCTGCTTGAACTTCTCGGAAAACTTAAACATGAGGTTCTGATTTTTTCCTTCAAATTCAAGCACTTATATAGAGACAATGTGCCGTTCCTGTTAATTTAATAATTTATACTTTCGTGTTGTTTGATTACTCATGGTTTCTAAGAAAATCTGTTTGAAGAACTTTCTTTGTCTTATTTTAATTTCTTATTTACTGTGTTGTAGAATGTGAACACTTTGACAATACTTGTGATGGGAAAAGGGGGTGTTGGAAAATCTTCAACTGTTAACTCCATCATTGGGGAGAGAGTGGTCACCATCAGTCCATTTCAGGTGTACATTTCTTTCTCTTGATGGTTTATTGAGTGGTTTTGGCTGCTTGTTATATTTAGATATCACTGAACTTTTAATTCTTCAAAAGTCGGAAGGACCAAGACCTGTAATGGTATCACGATCAAGGGCAGGATTTACATTAAATATTATTGACACTCCTGGTCTCATAGAAGGTGGATACATAAACGACATGGCACTTGATATAATAAAACGGTATGTTTCACTTCAGTGCATCTCTCCAAACGTAGCTCCTTATACTGGTCTTAATTTAAATGCTTAGAGTTCTTTCCCCTCATCCTTTCCTTTTCTTTGGGTGGCATGTGCGGATTTGAGCAGTTTCCTTTTGAACAAGACCATAGATGTGCTGATTTATGTGGACCGTTTGGATGCCTATAGAGTGGACAACTTGGATAAGTTGGTCGCCAAAGCTATAACTGATACTTTTGGTAAAGGAATATGGAACAAGGCTTTTATAGCCCTCACACATGCCCAATTCTCGCCTCCAGATGGGTTGCCTTATGACGAATTCTTCTCAAAAAGATCAGAAGCTCTCCTGAAAGTTGTTAGATCAGGTGCTCGGATAAAGAAAGATGCCTCTCAGGTATAGAGATGCATTTTTAGTAATTGTTGTAAAAGCTGAATATCGTCACTCAAATGCATTTCAATTTGCAAGGATGAAACTATATATCGGAAAGAAAATGTATTATGGCTTTTGAACTTCAGTACCTGAAACTTCGAGCTTTGAGTGAAGAAGAGACAAATTGACCATTTGAATGGCCCCCAACCCCCTTTTCCCCAACACATACACACGCTAGAAATAAAAGTAAAAGAAAAGGCATCTCTCGTCCGGGAATATGCATGGTCAGATCATGTGATGAAAGTAGCTAGTCGCTTGTATGACATTTGGTCTCACATGTGGGAATCAATTTACTCTGACCCGTATTGAATTGATGACCAATATGGTTCGTTCATTTTAGGTCATGTTACCCATTTACAAGTTATGAACTGATTATCAATATGGTGTGAACCTGATTCCCCCTCTTCAATCTTAGTTCAGAGTAGTATCAGTAACTGCCAGTTATTAAGTTGTCCTACCTTTTTAGATGCCTAATAGAGTCTTTCTATATAATTGAGACTCTTTAGGTGCTTTAATGAATGTTGGGTTTGTCCTTAGAGTTTGGAGCAGTTGGTATTGATCAAGTGTAAATGTAAGAAGTATCAGTGAACAGGTCACGATTGGAAGTGTTCTGTTTATGTTGTTTTGCCTTGTATTTGGTAAGAGCGAAATTTTGAGTTCCTCAAGTCTCACTTGGGATAATATTGTCTTTTGGGCTTCCCTTTTATGTATTGCTGAGATTATTTGCTTCGTTTTTTTTTTTTTTTTTGGGGGGGGGGGAGGGGGTTCCCATTAGGATGGAATCCTCTGTTCATGTAACGCTGCATGTGTTCCTTATATCTTTTGCTTTGATGATTAATGTTGTACGATGCTGGACATGTGGTTGGAACAGTCTTGTACACTTCCGTGTAATTCATAAACTTTTAACTTCTATTTTCCCTTTTTTGTTTCCCAGGCTTCTGCTATCCCTGTTGTTTTGGTTGAGAATAGTGGAAGATGCAATAAGAATGAAAATGATGAAAAGGTTAGATATTTGCCTGACGGTATTTCTTTTTATTCTCTTATCTCTTTAGATAGATATTGAGCAAACGTTGGCTTCTGAATGACAGGTTCTTCCCGATGGTACTGCTTGGATTCCCAAGTTAATCGAAACAATCACAGAGGTCACATTGAACGGCAGTGAATCTATTCATGTTGACCAGAAGTTAATTGAAGGGCCAAATCCAAACCAGACAGGAAAATTATGGATTCCTCTTATTTTTGCTCTCCAAGTAAGCATCTGAATTGAAGCTTGTTTCTTTTAATTTTCTGTATTGACAAAGAGAGTAATGGATCTCAATTTTATCTGCCTGTCAACAGTATTTCCTTATTATTAAACCAATACGAGGATTTATCAAGAAGGATATTGCGAATGAGAGTAGGCCATCATGGGAGACTCATGAGAGCGAGACAGATTTTGGCGGGAGAGATATGTTTTAGTTTGGCACCTTTTTTTCTGTCTTGAAATTTGATTCATGTTTAGGTTGTACCGTTAACGTGTTTTCACACCCAGTAGTTGTCTAGCTTTTTATGTGGTCAATTTGGTGGGTTTCAACAAACTGCTAGTACTATTACTATGCGGCATGGGACTTATTTATAATTTTGAGGTGATTTCATCTTGCGTATGTAGAAAATATTCGCTTTTAAATTATAAAGTTGGTTTTTCTAATTTCATATGGGATTCGTAGGCCATGTTTGAATGGAGGATATTCATAAGGGAAAAGAAATGGATCTCTATTGAAGCCTTTTCTTTGTTTGGGAGGCATTCGTAGAGGGTCGGTGAAGGATTTTCTGTTAACTCTCCGAAATCCCTTTTTGTTTTTTAAATTCTCCCAATATGAATGATTCTGGAGGGGGGGGGGGTCTTCGTGAACAATAAAGAAGGAAACAATCAGTTTAGCCATCTCTTTCATGTTTTATTCCTTTCCTTCCCTCTGAAATCTGAACTTCTAAACATGGGACCTCGTTTTTTTTTTACTTTCTTTGGTAGAATTTGTTAACCCCGGTCACAAAATATGAATCTTTTTGTTTTTTGTTTTTGTTTTTGTTTTCGTTTTTGTTGGAGAAATATGGGGTTCAAGATGAATAATTGGAAGAGAGAGGAGGTATATAAGTTTGACGGCGTGACTCTCTCAAATCAATCAATATTAATGCCAAGATAAAACATTGGCACAGAATATTAAGATAGATGATACTCTTCCGGTTTTTAATATAAGACTTATTATACTAAATTGATTAGATTAAAAAAGTTAGATAAATTAGTTAATTATAAGAAATGTGACATATTTTTTCTAAAATATCATAATCATCTTTCTTAATATCCTCTCCTCTCTTCTACTTGATTAGTGGTTAATAGAGTATTTATAGGGATAAATTTAGAAAAAATTGATAAATATGATAAATAAGTCTTATATTTAGAATCAAAAATTAATTGACAATTAGGTTTTATATTAAGGATAGGAGGAGTACTTAAAAATAAATGATATAAATTATGTTTCAAATTTCATACAATATATATATATTTTAAATAAGGGAAGGCACAATCAAATGTTTCAAGGTTCTAAACCTCTTCTGGGACACGCCTGTTGCATTTATGCCTTTTGTTTGTTTGCATAAATTGGCTAAGTTGCCCAATTAATTCATTATTTATACTGCAACTCTCACAAGTTCCTATTTTTTAATTTTTACTGCATTATCATGATATCACCAAACACTGGCCTACTCTTTAACTACAGAACAGATAATCAATAATCCGGCGATGTCATGACAATTTAATAAAAAAAATAACAGAAACTTGTATGAGATTTACAGTATAGATAAAGGAAAATTGTTGTACAGCTCCACATGACTAATTTAATCACCAAAAAGTCACATAACAATACGCGCATTGCTCGTTTGTCATGGAATTTTTTAGTGATTAGATTGATTGAGTTAACATAGTAATTAATTCTACAAACAATGAGCCAATTGGGAAGCTTGAAGGAAAAAAAAAATGGTGAAAATAGAGGAGACTTGTCAGATACAAATTACAACCATACGAATAAATAAAATTGAGAATGCTGAACTTAATTCAGCAAATAACTAATTAATTGTTTTGGTCTCTGATGTTGTCCAGACTTCATGTCTTTAAAATATGAACAAATCAGTTGTATTTTAACTATGAACCTAAGAATTCATGTATCTAATGAAATTCATGTCTTATAGTTTCATCTCTAAGGATGAGGAATCGAGTTGAGTTGATTAAGGTTTAATTTAATCCCGTCCTCTAATGGTTTCTTTCTTTTCTGCGTTATACCTCCTAACCCCGGGCCATTTTTCATCACTTGAAGAGAAATCTTGGTGGCAATATATACTAATTTATAAATTTATTCGCTTTTATAACAAATGAATTCACTGAGAAGATACTTATTCGATGACTAATACAAATTATACATCTAAGTCGGATTTTATGAAGAAAAATATTTACATCAAGTTTTTTATATCCGTTAAGTCAAGTTATCCAATTATGCATGATGTGTATCATATTTTTGAAATATTATTATTTAATTATAGACCTATATGAAAAAAAGGGGACACATGATTGATAGGAAACTGGACATAATAGATATAAAAAACTTAACATAAATATCTCCTTTTATAAATTTGAAATAAAAGATCTTAATAAATTATAATTACTTTCTTAATGAGTAATAACAAGTTTGGTCTTCCAAACATTTATACAATCGCAGCATCGGATTGTGTGTGTGTGTATCATATAATGTAATTAAAATTTATGGAAGTATACACATCAACAAAATGATTTATTCTAGATTCTCTATAAAATGACATCTATGATCTAGTTATATTTCATAAGATCTTCTACACTCTTTGAATTTAATGTGAAATCTTTCATCCTTTGGTAAAATATGTCACCACACAATTATAAAGACACTTTAACAAATTGTACCTTTGAAGTACTACTACATAAAATGAAAATTGAATCGATACAAAAATAATAAGGATAGAGATGAGACTAACAAAAAAAGTGGCTTTATTTTTTCAGGCCAACAACGAAAAAAGTGGTTTTATATCATGACCTCGTCATTATTAAGACCCTTCAACAACTAATAATTCTAAGATTGTGATGTCATATATTTATGTATTTGGGTTGGGCATTAATGTTAATCAAATAACATAAAATGAAAAATGTGCATAATAAATTATATTTTTATAAAGCATGGATTGTATGAATTGATTGCATATATGTAAGACCATATGGGGTTTATAATACATACCATGAAGATCAAGTGTATGGGGAAAAAAAAGAAGTATAATATATCAACGATATATAAGTCATTTAGAATGTGAACAGTATGAATTATTATTGATTCTTAATATAGTAACAAACCTGAAAGGCAAATCAAAGTAATGCATTATTTTATCTAAAATATCTATTCTTTATTTTTCTTGTGCTCTTAAGGCTTGATAATTATTTGATTCGTTACTTTACCATTAAACGTTTTAAATAATAATAATAAATAAATCTGATGAGAGCTAATAATAATAACAAAAAAAATAATAAACTGAATTCAAAA